ATAAATTTAATACAGAAATACTTAAATAAATAATAAATATAACACCTAAGACAATACATTTTGAAAATAAAAAATAATGAGTTCAGAGAAAAACAGATTTCTTAGGGCCCAAAAGCATTAAAGGAAAAAAACTGGAATATTGAGTTTCATCAAAATGAAAATATTTTGCTTATTTAAAGAGTTTGTTTTAAAAATGAAATGACAGGTCACAGACTAGAGAAATCATTAGCAATCCTTGTATCTGACAAAGACCCAACTAAATCCAGAATATATAAAGTCATGAAGATATTTTTTATTTAAGTTTCAACATTTATTGTTTTAGGTATAATATTTATTATTATAATAATTATGATTACAAATATAATTCTTATGTATTATTCAAATGTGATCCTTTTCTAGTTTATTTTTTAAATGATGTGAGAGAAAGAGGAGTTTCCTTTTTTTTTGTATGAATATCCAATTGTTACACTACTATTTGTTGAAAAGATTATTTTTTCCCCCATTGACTTAACTCGCCAGCTTTGTGGAATTCAGTTAACTTGAGTGTGGGTCTATTTATGGATTCTTTATGCTCTTCCACAGACTCATTTGTCTAATCTTTCACTAATGCACATTGTCTTTGTTATTGTAGCATTGTCGTCATGTAGGACTGTACAGGGGAAAGGTGCCTCAGAATGTGATTAGGGTAAAGGGAGAGTTAGACATGCATGGCTTTTACGAACAACAACAACAAAAAAAAACCCCAAAACTAAAAACTGAAGCAACTCTTGTTCACTCAGTGATCCTTATATTCAAGAGGGGACCAAACCAGTCATAACCTGTCCTTGAGAATAAGCAAACCACATTATTAAAATTTTAAGTTAATTTGGCACAAACGGAAGCTCTGAAATCAGATATGAGAACAGCTATTTGATACTATCAATGCATTCATAGACAAGTTTAAAATGTAATTTGCTTATTACTTTGAAAATTGTTATGTATTAATAAACACATTTAGAAGCAAATAAGATTTACCTTTACAATCAACTATTAGCAGTTTCTCATGTTGTGCTTCTCTGCCAGCATTGTTAAACTGTCAGTGTATATAATTCTTATTTGTTTATGATTTCTGTAGATTAAAACATCTGTTGCTAGTAATTTTCAAGTTAGTTTTCCTCCTCGGGTAATTGTCACCTTTTTCTTCTCTCTTTCACCTAACTCATTTTTAATCCCACTGCTGTTGAGTTGATTCCTACTTAAGGTGGGCATTACTGAAGGACAGCATGTCCAATGCTAGACATATTTTACACAGTCTCTTAACATCTTTCTCCCACAAAACAACTTATGAGTTCAAATCACTCACCTGGTTAGCAGCTGAGCATTTTTGCTATTGTGCAATCAGGGCTTGTTTCAGATTGATCCTGTCAACCTCTGAAAACCTCTACTAACAACCTGCCAGGGGCCAGAAGAATGAAAATTCCTGTTTTGCATATAATGAGGACAACCTGAATCTCAAGGACACCTTAAAATTCTTAGGAATCCCCTCTAAGGAATAGAAGAAAATGATTTGTTTGTTTGAATTTAAGTCATGAGTGAATGCTATCTGAATGAATCTTCAAATTCTGTGTTGGTTTGGTTTGGTTTGGTTTGGTCCCCCCCCCCCCCACCTATATGAGTATGTTTTAGAGATTATTTTTCTTTGTATTAAACCTTCATCAGAATTTATTTACAGACAAAATTGGTTTGCCTACACTCTTATAGATACCTAAGAGTGAAAGTTAATTAAAAAGTGAAAGTTGATCCAATCCTGTTTAGCAGTTGCTTTGCCTGGAATGAAGTGTGCATGTATGTGGTTTGTGTATCAGTCTTGGTCAGCTGCACTGACAGGGTTGGGCCAAGATATTTTCCTGCCTGTTAGTTAATCAAGGCCACACAGACAAAGCCCAAGGAAGGATGACCCCCTGCCTCAGGAAGTTTTCAATCAATTGCTATTTATAACCAATACAGAATAGAACTTAAGATCAGGTCTTAACTCAGTCAACAGCAAAGGTTTTCTGCCAAATTTTACGATTAGGAAATAGTTTATGGACCTAAAGAGTGAGGGCTCTGTGTGAAAGGAAAAACTGTGACAGTAACTGTAAGTACTTTTGCTGATTTGGATTGAGGGTGTGGTGCCAGAGATGTGGAAATTCAGCCAGTGGCACAATAGAATACATTTTAAAGCAACTACTACATAGTTAATGGACAACTTGATTTGTCTTCAGCATGATGTGTATGGGATCTTGTGCTGTCACTACTAAAATTGAAATGATCATATGTGATAAACTAATAATATTGAGCAATGTAAAAAAGGATATTAGCTATTGGTGTGTTTCCAGACTAACTGGCTCTTACCTCTGAACATGTATGCTTTGGTAATCTGAAATGTATTATGTCTGTATAGGTATGTGTGTTTTTTTTAAATTAGATATGCTTTTTATGTTACTTCATTATTCATTATTTCATTAAAATTTTCACAAAGAATTCATTTAAAAATAGCATCATGTACTACTTTATATAATCCCTTACAGAATTCAATTCCTAACTTTAAGAAATTAAATATGACAGGTTTTAAAACCTGACAACTTGAGAATTACCACAAACAATATTTTTCTCAGTCTTATCCTATCAGTCATCTTAGGAGTGCTTTATAGAGTTGAATTACTTAATAGACAGCAAGTACATTTTTACATATGCATTGTAAATGAACTATTTAGAGATAGATAGGTAATGTTAAGTGGAGTTGAAATTGAGAAATTATGAAACTATGAAACACATAATTATGAAATTATGAAACATTCTTGTCTCCTTTTAATAGGAATATTCAAGATAAAGGTGCCGAAGTTTTCAGCAAAGACCAAAGATCAAAATTTTTCTTTTGAAAAGGATTTGCAAGTTAGAGATGAAAAGAAAACACCAGAATCATTTGAATTCTAACTGATGGAATAAAGGATACAATATTTCAGATGGGGAGACCTTTGTAAAATTCATCACTTGTTATGCACCCAACAGGGAACATGGATGTTGGTTTTTCTCGTTCTGCTGTTCAGACACTGTCAAGAAGCCACTGTAAAAATATCAAACAAAAAATTTCTCAGTGGGAAGGAAGAACAAATGGTATATCTAATCCAGATAAGTGGCGTCCAAAAGACTTTGGAGTGAGATATAACTGTCACCAGGAGATTCTTCCCAAGAAAAAAACTGTTGCTGAGGGGAAAAGTGAAAATTTGAATGTGTGCAATTCTCAAAATGTGGGTCTGGATCTGAGGGAAGATGCCAAAAGCCGTGATCAAAGTGAGGATGAATGTGACAAATATGAATATGATGGTGGACACTTCTTTAAAAATGAGTCAAAAAGCAATTGGGTATGTTCTCGGGTCAAACAATTTGAAAGCTGGAAAGAAGTTTTGGACTCAGAAACATCATTACCTCCAGGAAACTTCTATACCTCCCAAATATTGTGGAAGAAAATAGAAACACTTCCTCCAGATAAAGTCTTCAATTTGGCTTTAGAACATTGTGACTCTTCAAAAAAAGAACTAAATTTCGGAGTTCTGGATAGTTCATATGGAATAACCAAGAGCTTAGAAAACATTTACTCTGAACCTGAGGGGCAAGAATGTGGACCTTCTGTAAATCCTTTGCCAAAACCTCGTAGGACGTTCAGATACTTGTCTGAAACTGGTGTTAAGTCATGTAAAGAAAGAAACTGTGACAGAAAATACTGTGAAAATAATTCTTGTGCAGAATCTGCTTTTATCCCTTCTCAGGAACCAGAACCAAAGAAATATGGTGGAAAAATCAGAGGGAGATCGAAAAGGTACGTTTTTACTTTATGTTGTTGTTGTTGTTGTTGTTATGTGCTGTCAAGTCACAATGATTTTTTAGATCATTTATTTGTAGGATTTATTGAGCTTTTCCTTTTAAATCAATCCCTTTTACTATTTCTTTCCTAGACAGCCTTGGTTTGAACATAAAGATGCTGAAAAAGCCCCAGGGAGAAAGAAATATGGTAGGAAAAGTAGAAGTACAGGAAATGGGTAGAAGCTTTTATGACTTTATGGGCTAGTTCTACTCTGTGCTATGTTGTTGTTGATTGCCATCGAGTTGATGACTCATAGCAACCCTATGAACAAAAGGCCTGAAGCCTTTCTATAATTACCGTCATTTATGAAAGTTCATAGAGTTTCCAGAGGCATGTGGTTTAGGAAGTGGATGCCACTCCTGCTTAGTGTAGGGTTGCTGTAAGTTGAATTCCTCTTGACAAGAAGAAGTTTGGTTTTTTAAAATGGAAATGGATAAGACAATCTAAGGAATAGCAGAAAAACATCCCTTTTCCATAGCTTTATGTGAGTCCATTCCTCCATTAAATTTAGGGCATGTAGGCCTTAGTCTCACTCTTCATGAAGGAGTGAACTTAATAGAGGAACCAAGTGAAAGACAGGAGTGTGATTGGCTAAAAGTCTTCATTTGCTTCATTGTATATACAGGGATCAGCCTAGTTTATTAGTCTTAGATATATCAATTAAAACCACCTGTCTAATTGATAAGTCCATTATGTAATCAATTTTTTTGTTTACTGTATCAATGTAAAAATGGTAATTTTGACAAGTATAACTTCAGAATTTATTTCTTTTCTTAAGAAAATCTTTTGAATTTGAGGATATTCAGCACTTTCGAAATCGAAACACACAGAAGATTCATGAAGAACTTGGAAGAAATTCTGGTTCAGGACTTTATTACACACAGTCTGAGGACAATATCTATGAGGATATCATATGTACGTTTCTGCAAACTTTGCAATTACGTTTAATAAGTATTTATTGGTAGAATACTTTAAGATTGTATTTTCCTTTATAATTGATCTTACCTTCTTCTAGATTTTCTTTTTAATATGGAAAGCTTTGATGTATAATGTCTTTTGTTCTAGAATATCTTTTGTTCTTTAGTGGATCTTAAAAATAGTATAGTTGATTTCTCATTTCAGAAGCTTATGTTTATAGTGTGATATTTTGAGAATTTTTCTAGCTCATTGGAACTCCTGATTAATTTTTCAGCATAAAATGCCATTGATTTTGACACCCTTATAATTGCAGCAAAATAGAATAAGAAAATGGAACATATTTCGTAAATTTTTCTTTGCTTTTTTAGCTTTGGTCACTTTGTTTCCAATTAGTTCTGTTTCCTTCAACTTGTATTTCTTTCACTGTTTTTCAAGATCCTGCCAAAGAAAATCCTTATGAAGATATTCCAATACAACCTTTGCCCATGTGGAGATCCCCTTCTGCCTGGAAGCTACCACCCCCAAAATGTGCTTTCAAAACACCCAAGGTTTGTATGATCAGAGACCTGGTTGAAGAAACCATCAGATTCTACAAAAGGGTTGGTTCAGGACCAAATCAGCAGGCACTGAAGTTTTTGTTGGTTGGTAGTGGTGGTTTTTTGTTTTGCTTTTGCTTTTAGGGCAGTACAAGGGAAGTTTTGCTTCTTTTGTTTTCTTTGGTAAATGCTTCCCCTACCTCCTTATTTTTTTCATTTGAACATGAATACATTTAAATAATGCATGAACATCTTAGTTCTCTGTAGTTCCATGACTCCTTATTAATGTCAGTCTTATCTAGTGGCCTAATTTACCTGCCTAACAGTGTCCAGAACCCCTGAAAACAAAGATTCCCTTGAGTTAATGAAGACAGTTTGCTGTTGTTTTCTGAGAACTGAATTACATTGTAATAGAAGAATTTTTAATTAGAGATCTGAGAAACTTCTTTACAACTGGTGAAAAAGAAAGTGTGGAATCTTCTTTGAGTCCATTTTTGTAGGATAAAATAAAAATACTTCTGAGATGCTGTTTGCTTGGTGTGTGCTGTTGAGTTGATTACAACTCATAGCAATCTTAGAAGACAGGATAGACCTGCCCAGTAGGGTTTCCTAAACTAATCTTCATGGAAACAGACTGTCACACTTTCTTCCCAAAAAAAGCAGCTGGTTGATTTGAACTGCCAACCTTCCAGATCTCAGTGAAAAATATAACCACTAAACCACCAGGGTTCCTGTTTCTGGGATAGTTTTAACTTTGTATGAGAAAACAGACATGAACTAGATGATCTTGCCTTTACTTCTTACCAATACATCTTTTCCTGTTTTAGCTTCCTCCCAAGCCTCAATTCCTTCTCCGAAAAACTATGGAACTGAAAAACTCACAAGCTTATTTACGATCAAAGCTCACAAAAGATGCTACTTTGCCTGTCACTTTAACTGAATGGAAGCTATTCCGAGCTGGAGAAGTTGCAAACAGGAAAAGGAAAAATCTTCCAAGGGTAAGGACTCCAGGACTTGTAGAATAAATAGACTAAAATGAATAATAGGATGGAACTGACCTACTAGAATTAGAAGATTTGGAAAGCAACCTTAAGTTTTAAATTTTTGCTCTTGCAAGACAAATGCATAAATACTTTTTACCAGGGTTTCTTTATGACTTTGGAAAATTGAATTTTAGCTGGACTTCATGTCATTACCTTATCTCTCAGCTGTTTATTTAAAGGACACATCAGAATCTTATATAAGGATGTTTTATCAAATTAGATTTAATGTTGTTATAACTCACTGACTTATATAATTTCTTAAAAAAATTCCATTTCATACAGGTTTTTATTTATGTAAAGTATAAGCCATTAATTTAGGGCAGAATTTCCAGTAGGGGGAAGAAAAAGAGGAATCTATTCTTAGGACTAGACATTACCAGTAATTATAGTAAATAAATGACTTCTCCTTCAAAAGGAAAAAAAGGCAGTAAGTCTTTAAGTAATCTAGACTACAGCAATAGGGCCCAAAATTGAGAGATTGGAGTTCCTTGTAGAAAAATATATTTTCTTGCAGGAGAATATTTAAGAAATGACATGAGAGTGTTTTTAGATTCCCTTTTACTCTGTACATCTATAATATAGAATGTTTTGACAATTGAAAGGGTATTATGCTGCTACTGTGCAGCAGCGTAAATCTCAGATCGCTTACATATGATTTCTTTTTTGTTACTCCTTCTGATTTAGCACACAATATTTGTACCTTATTTTAATAATAAACAAAAGTCACAGCTATTCTTTGGTTTAGTTACTACTGATTGGTTCCTTGGGAAATATCCTGTTCAACAATTACTTGAATTCTGATCTATTTCCTGCCCCTCCCTCACTAGTATCTGAAGAGTGAAAACACGTACAGTTTTTTTAAAAGCACTAAACTTACCTGTTTGAAAAATAAATCTTTAGTCCTTTATTCTCCTCTGTATAGTGAGGAATATTTAAAAACAGAAGTTATAGAATTGCTATGCATCTGGCAGTAACTCTCCCTCCATTCGTGTGGGATATTCTGGCACAACAAAGCAGCCTTTGCATGGCCCAGAAACAACAGCGTCATGTGTTCACAGGAGGAAGAATATTAACACTTAAGGAGTTGCTCTGAGATGTGGCTCTCAGAACAGCACAATAGGAATTAAAGATTGTAGAGTTTATAAGCTCCTAGGACACTTTGGAGTGCTTTGGACTTCATGCCTCATTACTTTACATACCGTGTGTCTCCTGAAGCCTCAAAGATACTTGAAGACTGTTTCCTTTCTGAATTTAGGTGATATGATGTAACTTGTCTTTTTGTAAAAATGAGAAAATATTTCTAATGCTTTCCCCAAAGTTTTTTTTGGATTTTTGGGGGGTGGGTTGTTTGTTTTTTTAAGCACTGAGGAGAAAGAAAATGGTGCTGGACTCTTTATGGTTGAGCAGAAAGGGGCTGTTAGCGTTTTTATCCGTGATGTTCCTTGGCTTAAATCTTTTTATGAAATTTTGGCTTTAGAGTATCTTCAGGAACAGTATTACACAAGAAAAACATTTTTCATTTATTTTCCACTTTGATGACTAGAGCAAGCCCTGGAAGGGAAACAGCTTTCATGATTTGAAAATCACTGATCTAGTCCATATGCCTCTTCCCCACCCTTTCTTTCTCTTCCTGCTCTGGAAGTCTGTGTGGAACTGTTTGCTGGAGCAGATTTTCTAAGGTTTTGTAATTGTTTTTGTCCAGTATTTTCAGCAGTATATTTTTATTGTTTCTTAGAAAGAATATTCTACAGTATTTCCTGCAGCTAGCGGGTGAATGTAGGCTTCTTTTCCTAGATCACAACCTAATTTAAATTTTATCACCTTATCTCATATTTCTAGACCATATACTTCCCTTTCTTTATACTGTAAGTGTTAATGCACACTAATGATTGTGAGTGTACTCACACTATTATGATGTTTTAGTTATTGTGTTCTCAAGATACATGCTTACCTTCATACAACTCTTCTATAGCCTGTATTGTTATGTACCACACAGCCAGAGATGACTCAAAGCTGACCCTTCAGCAAGTTTTCAGAGGTCATAACTTGCAAGGGAGATTGCCCATCTTTCTCCTGCAGAGCAGTTGGTGAATTCACTTGCTTTGGATTGGCAGTACAACTCCTTACCACTCACCCTTCACCAATCCTCTGCCCTTCCCATCATCATATCCCTCTCCAAGGAATAGCCTCTCCTGGAAACATGCCCAAGGTATGTTAGGTGCAGCCTCATCATATTTGACTCCAGCGGGCACTCTGGCTGTACCCTCTCCAAGACATGCACTCTGGCTGCACCCTCTCCAAGACATAGCTGTTCTTCTCTTGGCTATCCGTGGGATGTTCAGTGCTCTTCTCCAACACCACAGCTCAAAGGCATCAATTCTTTTTCTGTCATCCTTATTTATTGTCTAGCTCTCAGATGCATAGCAAGTGATCAGAAAGACTATGGCCTGAATCTGACGCACATTAGTCCTCAAACTGACATCATTACTCCTCAATAATTTAGAGAGGTCCCTAACTGCAGAATCTGTAGTAATTCCTTTTATTGTTGGATACTCTTGGGGTTTTTGTAATGGTAGTACTAAGAATGTTCGTTTCGGGGGGGGTTGGTGTTTGGGGGTTTTTTTATTTGAATGGCAGCTACACAAAATCTTTTTTTTAAAAAAAAATAATATCTCAGCCAAAAGTGTGGGAATAATCTGCATATTGGAAGCACATGTTTCTCACATGTTCTTTTTCTTGCCTTGGATTAATTCACTGATTGCCAACATTGCTGAAGAAACAAGGACAAAAGGGAAAATAAGAACAATTATCTCAAGAAATGTTGTTGATTAACAAGTATAATTCAAGGCATCAAAGATCAATAGTAATGGAGTTTTTTTAAAAGCTTAAAATTGTAAGAAAAACTGGAAAAGCTAGTGGTGCTGAAAAGCTAATCAGTTTCTCCTTTTAAGAGCTCTAATTCTCCTTTTACTCCAGCTCATGCCCCTCTTTTTACTTTTTCTCCATAGCTTCTCATCTCTCTTTCTCTGATATACACACACCCATGCACACACCCATCCCAGCAGCAAAGGAGGAATGATAATGAATAAATGCTTTTTGAGCGGAGGGGAGCAGTTATGTAATGATTTAAGAAACCAGTGGGGTAGGATAACCTTTCTTGAGATGTAGATGAGGGGGTGAGAGTGGGGCAGGAAACAATTTTTCTGTTTGAACATATTTGAGCATCTCTTATGTTTCCAGTAGCAAAGAGATAGAAAAGCTTTTTAAAAGTAATTATGTTCTTTATAAAGAATTCTGGGGAGCAGAAATAACTGAGGCTCACGCTGCCTTCCAATTGAATGAGTTTTTTCCTCTTCCTATTCTGGGTAGGCAGAAACTTGAGTAAAGACTTGTTCACTCTGTGGATCACAGTAGCAAGATTTCCTGCATGTTGTAACATGGAGTGACCATGAAACTGGGAGCCTGTGCTGACTACTGCTGGAAAAAGATATCATACTTCAGTTTTCTTATCCATGTTACATGAACTTTGTATGTATTAAAATAACAGGATTCAACTGAAAAACTATCCTTTTTTTAGTCAAAATTTAAATTTGAAAATATTTTCCTTACTAAACTAGGACTTTTCTCTGAATGACAACTACTAATAAATTGTCATTAACCTATAAAACTTTTGAATGTTGGTTTTAACTTCTGATCTCTTTCAGTTTGTGTTGAAAATAGATGACATATTTGAGTCTAAGAGAGGGAAAAAAAGGGTAAAGTTACACCCTTACACTGGGAAAGAACTGCCTCCCTCAAAAGGTAAGAATTGTGATCTGTTCAACACTGTTCTGCTTTCAGCATCTTAGGAGAGAAACATAACTAAATAGTTGATGTGCATTAGAATTTTTGTTTACTTTTTTAAATTATTTTTTATTTTTATAAATTTTAATGAAACTTTACAGAGACTTAAGGTTTCTATTCATTGTTGCACTTTTTTTCCTGCTGACCCCCCTCCCCCAAATTCACTCTTCTCCTTGGTAAAAGAAAAACTCTTTCATTGTTATGCAGTTCTTCCCTCTAAAGTCCACTCCACTATGCAGCCTTCACTCTGGACTTCTGTAATGACAAGAATACCCATTCATGTGTCCCTTTTAAACAGTTCTCTCCCTCATCTGTTTCAGTGCAATATAATCATTCCTCCCCTTCTTTTCTGTCTTCCCTCAACCCTGATGGTAGTTGCATTTTACAACAGTGGCCCTATGCAATATTTGTCCATTTGTGACTGAGATATTTCACTCAGCATAATGTCCTCCAGGGTCACCCACTTTGAGTAATATTTCATGAGTTCCCTGTTTTTCAATGCTGCATAGTATTCCATTGTGTGAATATACCAGAGCTTCTCTATCCATTCGTTTGTTGATAGGCATTTGGGTTGTTTCCAGCTCTTTACTATTACAAACAAAGCCACAATAAACATGGGTCTGCATATGTCTGCTTAGGTGGCAGTTATGGTTTATTTAGGGTATATTCCCAGTAGTGGAATTGCTGGGTATTTCTATTTGCAACTTTTTGAGAAAGTGTTTTACTGTCTTCCATAGTGGTTGCACCATTTTACACTCCCACTAACAGTGAATAAGGGTTCCAGTCTCCACAACCTTGCCAGCATTTGATGTTTGCTATTCTTTTAACTTTTGCTATTCTTATTGGGGTGAGATGATATCTCATAGTTGTTTCAGAATTTTTGTTTACTTTTGTTCCATCTAAATATAAACTTCTTTAAGATGAAGGGTATTTCTTATTCTTCTTCATATGGCTTTTATTTAGTTGTGTTCCATGTAATAGTAATTGGGTGAATCAGTAAAGAAATTTTAAAAATCCTGAACAAAGAGACTGATTTTCTTGGGCAGATTGTATCGTTGAGGAGCCCTGCTAGTGCAGTATCCAAGCTCTTGACTGCTAACTGAAAAGTTGACTTGAAATCCACCAGATTCTCTGTGGGAAAAAGATGGAGCAGTCAGCTTCCTTAAAGATTACATCTTTGGAAACCCTATGGGGCAGTTCAGCTTGGATCTATAAAAGTCATTATGAGTTGGGGTCAGTGTGATAGGCATGGGCTAGATTGAGTCATTACTTTGTTGTCCTGCTTTGCTATATAGTTATTATTTAGAGCAGATTTTTTTGTGAAAAAAATTAAAATATTTAGTATATATAATCTGAAGGAATAAGGCACTCCACTTGTCATCTATAAGTTCAGGTCTTTATCTTTTAAATAAAAATATCTAGATAAAGCTTACATTGTCTTCATTAAGAAACTCTCGGGGTCCATACTGCATTTTTAGAATTTTCTTCCAGCTCAGGTGAGATTCTTAACTTGGTTGCCTCGGAAAGAATATGTGGAATTTGGCAGTTTTAGGGCACAGGATTCCCAAGGAATCTTGAGAGATTCCATAATGAGAAAGAACAATGAAATCATGTCAGAAGGAAATGTTTCTGTTATCTGCTTACTTTGAAGGACAGACATTTCTTTATTTTGTTAATCGCTTACTTTCTGAGTTGTGATGCTAGAGAAGAGTGTTGAATATACCATGGACTGCTAAGAGAACAAACAGGTTGGTCCTGGAGAGGGTGAAACCAGGCTGCCCCTTGGAGGCAAGGATTCTGAAGCTCGATCTGACATACTTTGGGCCTGTTGCAAGGAGGGACCAGTCCATGGAGAGGGACTCATGCTTGGGAGGGTGGAGGGACAGCGCAGGAGAGGAAGACCCTCGATGAGATGGATTGTCTCAGTGACTGGGGTAATGGGGTGGCTGTGTCGGAGATGATGAGGTTGGCTTAGGATAGGGCAGGGTTCAGAGCTGTTGTACATAGGACCACTATGAGTTGCTTGACTCGACCGCACTTCATATTCTTTCCTATTATTTATGAAATTTTACTCCATGCTAATTAAAAACACTTTTAAGTGTGAATTTTCATGCTTTCAAGTATACCTAATTTAAGAACTAAAAAGTCCTTTCACTCTGCTCTAGAAGAAATATTTTTTTGTTATTGTTGCTGTAGTAGTTCTAAAATGTAATGGTTTCTTTACATGCTTTGCCTCATGTCTATCACTAGGAGGTAGGGATGATCCTGTTTCACAGGTGAGGAATCTGAGGTGGAGGACGATCTGTACATTGTATCAAAGAATATGCCACCACAAAGACTTACTTTTTGTTGTCACCTGCTGTTTCACTTTTTCTTACAACTTTGATTTTTCAGGAGTTAAATGATCTCTCCACATGTTTCCTAGTTCTCAAAAAGATATATTGTCAAAAGTTTTTGTTTATGTAATGCAGAAAGAGGTATAGAAGAAGAAAATGATGACAGATGATGTGCTAAAATTTCCAGCAATTTTCTAAACAGTATGTGAGATATTTTAATTGTTAATTAGATAAGGAAATAAATTAGAAATTGCATATTTTATAAAATATCAAGACAGGGACAAATTCTTGGATTATGTTAATTGCCTTTTCCTACATTATCAGTCTTTTGTTAATTACTCAGAATTGGGAATGGAGTATGCCAGGGATGTGTCCTATCCCCATACCTTTTCAATCTAAATGTGGAAGAGAACCCCCAGGAGGCTGGGGTCTATGAGGAGGAATGTGACATCACGATTGGAGGAAGGTTCATCAAAACTCTGCATTATGCAGATGACACAACCTTGCTTGCTGAAACAGAGGAGGACCTGAAGCACTTGCTACAGATGTCAGGGACCACAACCTTCAATATAGATTGAAGCTCAACATCAGGAAAACAGAGATTCTCACCACTGGGCCAATTGGCAGCATCATGGTGGGGGAAAAAAGTGAGATGGATAACAGCTTTAGCTTGCTTGGCTCCACAGTCAACACTCTTGGTACCAGCAGCCAGGAAATTAAGAGAATAATTGTATTGGGAAAGTCAGCTGTCATGGAACTCTCCAGAGTACTACAGAGCAACGATAATCAGTCTGGAGACCAAGGTGTGCCTGATCTAGGCCATGGTCTTTGTAGTTACTTGGCTATGCATCAGAAAGCTGGACAGTGACTAAGGATGATAGAAAGAGAATTGATGCCTTTGAGCTGTGGTGCTGGAGAAGAGTATTGAATATATCATGCTAAGAGAACAAACAGAATCATTCTGGAGAGGGTGAAACCACACTGTTCTTTGGAAGCAAGGATTCTGAAGCTTAGTCTGACATACTTTGGACATGTTGCAAGGAGAGACCAGTCCTTGGAGAAGGACATTATGCTTGGGAGGATGGAGGGACAACACAGGAAGGGAAAATCCTCAATGAAATGGATTGACTCAGTGACTGGGATAATGGAGGGTAGGTGTGTCAGAGACAATAAGGCTGGCTCAGGATAGAGCAGGGTTTAGAGCTGATGTACATAGGGGCACTATGAGTCGCAGGTGACTTGACAGCACATATAACAACAAGAAGATATACTCCAGTAATGAAATAGGCTATTGCCCCCCTCCTATTTGATTTGTATGTTTTATACCTTATATATAGGAACACTTCAGTGACTTTGGCTCTAAGACAAGTCTTTTAAGAGCCAAATGCTTTTTTTTCTCATTGTGTTATGTAATGTTTAAAAAGAAAAAAAAATCAATAGCCTGAGTTGCCAGCCTCTAGCACCAGAATAAAAAAATAGAGAGGGACAATATTTTTTTAATTATAACCCTTCCTAAAAGTTTGTTTTTCATTTGCATGACTTAAAGAAAGTACAGATTTTTTTTTCTATAATTATATTTTATTAATTTTCATAAACATTTACAGAGATTTTGGGCTTCCACTCATTCATTGTTGCACTATTCTCTCTACCCTCCTCCCAGTTTGTTCTTGTCCAAATGCCACAGTGCTTGTCAAAGCCAGTTCTGATTAATCTTCTTTGTCAGTGTATCCTTTGCCATTCCCTATCACTCCTCCCTGAGAGAGACTTCACCCTGAGTCATAAGGAAAAGGGGATGGCGTATTCTCTTAGCTACTTCCTGCTGAAAAGGGACGCTGTGGGTTTCAGGGTGAAGATCTTCTCTCACTACTCTAAAGGGCCCCTTTGGCAGTAGGAAACACATAGACTATTATGGAGATTGATTTTGGAATTCAGATGCACTCTTATTGATTGTGCTTGGCTGTACATGTACATATCCTTCAAGATGTATCATGGGGGTGTTGCAACCTAGAAGACACAAATTTGACTAACAAGTTATAAGTACATGAGTCCAAAAATTATGGAAAAGTAAAAGAAAAGATTCTTTCATTGTTTTACAAACCCTCCCCCAGGTCCCCTCCACCATGCAGCCCTCGCTCTAGTCTCCTGTGATGACAGAAATACCCAGTTACATCTCTCTTTTAGACGGTTCTCTCCCTCCTCTGCTTCAGTGCAGTATACATTATTGAACCCATCTTACTCAGTGTCTCCCTAACCCCAAGGACAGTCCCATTCTACAACAGTGGCATCATGTAATATTTGTCCTTTTGTGACTGGGATATTTCACTCAGCATAATGTTCTCCAGAGTCAACCATTTTGAATAATATTGCATGAGTTCCTTGTTTTTTAATGCAGCATAGTATTCCATTGTGCGAATATACCACAGCTTCTCTAGCCATTCGTTTGTTGATGGGCAGAAAGTACAGATTTACCATGTGTCAGTTACTAACTTTTCCAGTGGGGCAGAAGAGTTCCTCTCATGCCTGAGAATCTCCTCATTTCCTAGCTTTGTGTCCTCTTTCTTAAGCTTTTGTTAGTTTATCAGCAATATGCAGCAATCCCAAAGACACATGGTTTGAATCCACCAGCTGCTCGGTGGGAGAAAGATGGGCAGTCTTCTTCCATGCAATTAAACTGCCCCCTGAAAACCCAGTGGAGAGTCAGCCATGGGTCATTTCCAACTCAACAGCATGTAACAACAACAACAACAGCTGTAGGAGTAGGGAGATCTGGTAGGTTAGTGATTAAGAAGTTGCGCTCCCAGCCTAACAGCATGCAGTTTGAACCCAACAGCTACTTCATGGAAGAAAGATGGGAAGTCTTCTCCCATGTGATGTATTACCTCTGAAAATCTTCTAGAGGGTCAGCTATGCATCACTGCAACTCACACAACAGCAACAACAACTGTATCAGTATATGCTAGCATTTACTGACTAAATTCTGACCAAAATGCTTCTTAGCTTTCACTTATCAGAAATTACAGAATTACATATTTCCTTCCTTCAACTCAGTCTTTATAATTTCATTTATTAATGTCATATATGAAAAAGGACACCAGATTTGGAAAAAGATAGTGACAGTGATCTTAGGAAGAATGTAATCAATGTCACTGGATAATACATATGAAAACTGTTGAATTGGCAAATGTGTTTAAAAAATGAAAAAAGAAATATATATGTATATAAAAAATTATGACAGAAAACAATCCGCAAAAAAGGAACTTCCAAGTATTTTCTAATCCATGCAAATTCTCAACAGATTCCCTGTTGGCTCATAACCTCTTAATCAGTGTTCTGGAGTGCAGATATCAAAACCTTTAGATGCAAATATATTAAAACTACTTAAATCATCTCTTACAAACTCTTTCCTAGTTATACTACCTTTTCTCTTTCTTATCTTTCTTTCCAAACATTCATAAACTTTTCAGAGGTGACTGGTGTTAGGGAAAAGGACCCCGGCAATACAATGGTTAAGTTCTTGGCTACTAATGAAAAGGTTAGCAGTTTGAATCCAGTGGCCACCCTCCTGGAAGAAAGACCTACTTGGCGATTAGAACCTAGCAAATCCTATGGGTTAGTTCTTTGTCATACAATATAGTGTCAAATTCCAATATGAATTGGAATTTATTTAATGACAGAAGAATAGTGGTAGGAAGACGTGATAATAGTGCTTGGGAAGTAAGAAATTCACAGTCTTTGTTCATCCTTCTGAAGAATATTCTATAGCACCAATATGGGTTTTTTGTTGTGGTGATTAATTTCAAGTTATAAAACCTTTGTAGTATGTTGTTGTTATGTGCCATCGAGTCATTTGTGACTTATAGTGACCCTATGTACAAGAGCTCTAAATGCTGTTCTATCCTGTGCCAACCTAGCCATCTCAAACTTACTTACTCCCACTGCTCCAGTCACAGAATCGATCCATCTCATCGAAGGTCTTCCTCACCTTCACCGCCCCTCCACTCTGCCAAACATGATGTCCCTCTCCACGGACCAGTCCCTCCTTGCAACATGCCCAAAATATGTCAGACGAAGCTTCAGAATCCTTGACTCCAAGGAGCATTCCGGCTTCACCTTGTTCTCCTAGCATTCCATGGTATATTCAACACTCTTCTCTAGCACCACAGCTCAAAGGCATCAATTCTCTTTCTATCAACCTTATTCACTGTCCAACTCTCTGATGCATAGCACGTAATTGCAAAGACTATAGCCCAGATCAGGTGCACCTTAGGCTCCAGCATGACGTCGTTGCTCTTCAGTGCTCTTGAGAGGTCCCTCACAGCCAACTTTCCCAATGCAATTTGTCTCTTGATTTCCTGGCTGCTGTTACCAAGAGTGTTGACTGTGGAGCCAAGCAAACTAAAACTGTTAACTATCTCAATCTCTTCACCATCCATACTGATGCTGCCAGTTGGCCCAGTGGTGAGAATCTTTGTTTTCTTGATGTTGAGCTTCAGTCTATATAGGAGGCTACAGTCCTTGGCCTTCTGCAGCAAGCGCTTCAGTTCCTCCTCAGTTTCAGCAAGCAGGGTCCACCAATCCTGATGCCACATTCCTCTTCGAACAGCCCAGCGTCTCGGATGATCTGTTCTGCATACAGATTGAAAAGGTATGGAGACAGAATACATCCCTGACAAACCCCCTTCTTGATTTTGAACCATGTAGTGTCTCCTTGCTCTGTTCTGATGACTGTCTCTTGGTCCAAGTATAGGTTTCGCATTAGCACAATTAAATGTTCTGGGATTCCCATTCTTCTCAGAGTCAGCCACAGCTTGTTGTGATCCACACAGTCGAAAGCGTTTGCATAGTCAATGAAGCACAAATAGACGTTCTTCTGGTATTCTTTGCTTTCTGCCAAGATCTATCTAGCATTAGCTATAATATCCCTAGTACCACAACCTCTTCTAAATCCAGCCTGCACATCTGGCAGTTCTCTGCTGACATATTGTTCCAAACGTTTTTGGATAATTTTCAGCAGACTCTTGCTTGCATGTGATATTAATGATATTGTTCGATAATTTCCACACTCTGTTGGGTCACCTTTCTTTGGAATGGGAACAAATACCGATCTTTTCCAGTCAGTGGGCCAGCTGGCTGTTCTCCATATTTCTTGGCACAACTTAGTGAGCACATCCAGGGCAGTGTCTGTCTGTTGAAATATGTCAATTGGTATGCCGTCTACTCCTGGAGCCTTGTTTTTTGCCGATTCCTTCAGAGCAATTTGAACTTCCTCCTTCATCACCATAGGCTCTTGCTCATATGTCATTTCATTAAATTGTTCTGTGTCAGCCAATTCCTTCTGATACAGTGACTCTGTTTATTCCATCTTCTCTTGATATACAATATTTAAATAATGTTTTCTGTAGCATCTCTGATGTACTTTTTTCTATCTCCTTATGAAGAGGCAGCATTTTTTATGTTCTTTTGTTATAAAATTTAAATAAGCACAATAAGAAATTGAAATAATGTAAAAACAAGATAAAATGAGAAGCTAGAGCTTCTAAAACTCTTCCCACTGCCTCTAGAAAATTATATGCATATACAATTATATGCATATACAAATACAGTAATTTTTCTACGCACAGTCTTATCCTTTTCAAACTTGTGGGGTTTTTTTTTTCTTTTTAAATTCAACATATTTTTAAGTTCTTTCAACACTGACATGTAGAGAGCCACACAACCACACTGTTTTTCATTGGATGAATTTGAATAGCAAATTCATTAGATGAATTTGAAAGCATTTTATCTAGCTGGAAGACATTTTGGATGTTTCTAACGTTTTACTTAATTTACCTGTGATTGTTGTTGTTGTTGTCGTTATTAAATGTCATTGAGTCAAGTACAACTCATTGTGACCCAGTAAATAACAGATCTAAATTGTTTACCTATTTTTGATTCCTTAAAAATATGCTGCATTGTTTACACTTTTACCATATTTTTACTATTTTTAATACTATATCTGTAGACTAATTTCCTTTTATTAAATAATTTATAAATTTTTTTATAAAAAGACTGTGATAGCTCATATCCTTACCAACCCTATATTAAAAGGATTATTTCTACATAATTTTCACCAATCTTATATTTAATCAGACTTTTTAATTTTTTTAGAAATATGATGGGTGAAAATTTTTACCTTGTTTATGATCTTGTTTTAATGATTTGTTAAGTTATTTTAATATTAAGTAAATTATCTTTGTATCTGCAATGTATATTACAAATATATTCTCAATTTAAAGTTCACTTTTATAATGTATTAATGATATTTTTATAGAAATTGTATATGTATTCTGTTTTCAAATAACCAAATCTACTTTTTATCCCAAATTATGACACTTAAAATGTTTTCCCCAATCAATTTAAAGGACTTTCCTTTTTCTTTGATTTTTAAAATTTGCTTTAGCTTCTCAGACTAATAATGTAAAACTAATAGCTTATTCGAAAAGTGCCTTTCTGGAGGGACTGGGAAGGAGTAAATTGTCTGAGTCCAAAATTATGCTAGGGCCAACGGTACCAAGCAAGTCCCTTGTTCAAATATAACCCTTTATCCTCAAGATACTTAATAGTATAACTGGAGAAAGTAAGACCAGTTCACACTACTGTGAAGGTATGAATACTTTTAAGAATTCAAAATAAAGCAAAGTTCAATATAGGGTAAAGTTAGAGGCATTATCAAGGAAATCAAATGTTATGACATCAGCTTATGTACTAAATAGTGATCTTTTCTAGTTTTCACATATCCCTTCTATTTTCCCCTCTTAGATTCATAGGTTAGTTAGCATTCAGATTTATGCTTAGCCAGCTTGATATTTAATCTACTTTTGAAATATTGTTTAAGAAAAATAGAAAATATTAATGTAAAAATAAAAGTATGTCCATTCTTAAAAAAAAACAACAACGTGGTCCATTCTGGACTAGACTTGCATTCTTAAAACTAATTTGAAAAGCCATTGATTTCTATAGTGAAAGATGAAAAGGGAATCATGGAAAGAAAGTAGGCTATGGGAGAAAAGCTAAAATAAATATTCTCTTCTATGAGCCGTTAAAATTCTCTTTTGGAACATATTATAAAAAGATGTAACTAAAAGGTTTGGAGAAAGGCTCAATCAGCATGCTTATTACCATCCCTATTGCATGTCTCCGGGTCTGTGAAGGCTCTGGGTTCTCATCCTTTTTGCTTCCTGCTTGGACAATACACATGGAAACTCATTCTCTCTTTTCAGGTGAAACCAGTGGGAACGAAAGTGATGCTGAGTATCTGCCAAAGAGTGAGTGAGTCAGTGGGGCTGCTCCCTTTCTCGTGATGATCATGGTTATAGGTGGAGCGACATTTATCTAACTTTGTGATTAATTAAGTGTGTTTGTCCCACCTGAAGTTTCATTTGTAGGTGATTTCTTCATTATCAGAACTTGCTGAGATTTGGGCAGCTAAACAGTGCACTGTCAGATATTTGACAGCATTAAAATTTTCCCCATAGTAAAGTAAAATAAATGAGTATGACTTTGGGGATGGAATGTTCTTTGGGAGTGGTTCAGAGCTGCATGTCCAGGCATATGCACAGTGGCTCACCAGCAGCCTAAACAAAGTGTGTGAATCATCCTATGCGACAAAGCGTTAAATATCTGATTTTTCATAGACACTCAAGTGTAATTACTTAAGTAACTAGTATCTTGCTAACAGTGAGAAAGAAAATATTTAATCTATTTCCTATTCATAGGCACTTACATGCCAAATCATTATGCTGTTTACTTTGTACTAGGATATGTGAAACAGTGCCATGCAATTCTGGCTTTATATCGTACTCTGTCTCCTTTATCTAATGACTTTTTACAACAAATTATTTAGTTCCTATTGAACTGATTAATGTCAAAGACATGGAAAAAACTAGGAGATTTGAATTATGAGTATGGAGTAGTGCCAAGTCTGACATGCTATTGTTAAATCACTAGTGTATTGTGCTCCCTCCACTGGCCTGAATTGCTGCAGGTCTTTAATTCTGTAGTCTGCTTGAAGGGGAAACTTCATCAGCAGACTCATCCTGTGTGTGTAAAGATGACTAATTTGGTGCTGTTAGTACCCAGAAATAGTACTTAAAATTTTCGTGACTTGAACTCATTCTTTTGGGGCTAAGGAAGGCTTAGCCTAGAGCAGTAAATGGGCTAGGTGATTCTGGAGACCCCAAAGGGACATTTACTCCTGTTTGTACTTTTAAAGTGTTTTAATGTTTAGATCCTTAATGTAACTTCTTTCAGGGTATTACATATCTAGAAGAAAACAGTCAGAGGGTGAATCTTTGATTCATTGGCTCAGAATGACACATAAGCAAAACTCTGACACATGCTAACCATTTCTTTTGCACGTACACAACTACCACCAGTGAACAATGCCCCAAATTGTTGAGAATGTGAAGATAAATGAGAACAGAGGGTTGAGGATATCCAGAGTAGTATTGCTACACGTTTGCATAAATAGTATGCCTCCATAATTTCATTCTTGTGAGGTCATAGTCTTTTATGAGATGCCTTTTCCCTATTCAGTTTTTCTGACTTTCATTTAACATATTTTATTGATATAAGCATATGAACGTCATTGGTAACCTGTCGGGGGGAGGGCGGGAGAATGTGGTTAGTTTTTGTTTTCACTTCATCCAGCTCTTCCCTGTGTGGGACTGCTGTTTTATCAACACTCCCTGCCTTCCCCCATGATTTTATGATCCCAACAAAGGCATTTGTTACCAGTGTAGTCCTTTTCTATGCTATTTCGCATGTATTGTACCATGTGTCCTGGTTTTATACTACATAATATACATAACATAGTGTTTGTAGTGGTACTCTTCTGTCCCCTGAGACATAGAATGTTAGTCTCATGATTGACTGGATTCCTGTGAGGGTCTGCACTTGGACCCCAAGGATGTCCTACTCTCAAGAAGCATGCCTATGTGACAGACACTGGTTAGTCAATATCCATTCACCAGGGACTGCATGAAGATTAATCCTGAATGGGTCATGACTTGTTGGTGAGGAAGAAAAAACAGTGCCCCATAATTTCATTACAGATCGCCATAAGCGCTTAGCACAACTGCAGCAGGCTTCCAAGCGGAATCCTCACTACCAGACCTTGGAGCGGGACCTGATTGAATTACAAGAACAGCAGCTGTTTGAACTTTTTGTTGTAGTGTCTCTACAAAAGAAACCCTCAGAACAAAGTTATGTTCCCCAAGTCATACAACAGTTCCCTAGTAAGGTAGGTACAAATTGGCCAAGAGGCTCCTCTTTTCCTCTGCGTATTTACTTCCTCGTCTTTTGTTTATCATACTCAAGAAAGTATAACATACTTTTACCAGTACTGGTGACTGAGTGGCAGAGAGTTGTGCTGGCAGCCCTAAGACAGGTGGTTCAGATCCACCAGCCACTCTTGGGGAGAGAGATGGACAGTCTCCTTTCATGCTACTTACAGTCTCTGAAAACCCTCCAGAACTGCAACAAAGAGTGGTGAAATAAGCTTATTCTTTAGGTTCGTTTTTCACATTTGGCAAAGCTTCAATTTGCCCCTCCTTATTGAAGGAAATAATAATTGAGGTAGAATTAGGTTAGTGGTGTGTGTAGAGCATGGGAGGAGCCCTGGTGGTGTAGCGGTTAAGCAGCTGACTGCTAACCAAGAGGCAACAGCTGAACTTCCCACTGGCTCCACAGGCAAGCGGTGTGACAGTCTGCTTCCATGAAGATTACAGCCTTGGAAACCCTGAGAAGCACCTCTGCTCTGGCCTTAAGGTCACTGTCAGTCAGAACCAAAACAGCCCTAAGTTCGTCAGCTCGGCCACTCTTGGCCAACTCTCTACAACTGCCATTTATTAGACCTCCTAGCTGGAGCCATTTCTTAACTCTGAATCAATTTCTTTATTTGTAAAATGAGGACAATAATAATATTACCTATACTATGCAGTTGTAAAGACTGCATGAGTGAAATTATGTAAGGCACTGAAAACTGGCATATAGTATGCAACATAAATTCAAAGCCACACTTCAGGTTCCAACCCACTGTGATCTCCCCTTAGGATTCCCAGGCTGTAAATCTCAAAGAAGAGACTCCCCCTCTCTCTCCTACAGAGGTGCTGGTGGATCAGACTTCTGTAGTTGCTTGGCCTTTGGGTTCCAGCACAACTCACTACAAGCTATGCAACAATAAGAATTATCTATTATTCGTGGGAGCTTAAGGGAGTCCTAGTGAAGTTTTTTGAGATTTAAACCAACCTAAAGGCAACCAGTTCAAATCCACCAGCTGCTTCTCAGGAGAAAGATGGACATTCCTCCTGTGTGATTTACGGTCTCTGGAAACCTGCTGGAGGGTCATCTGTGAGTCGGCTCAGATTCCATGACAATGAGATAGATGAAAGTGTGAGTTTACAGACATATATGAAGTGATTGATGGTGGCACAGTGGTTACGCACTCAGCCACTAACTGAAAGGCTGGCAGTTGAGCTAGCCAGACACTCTGCAAGAGTAAGATGTGGCAGTCTGCTTCTGTAAAGATTTACAGCCTTGGATGTACTAGATGTACTCTTTGGGTACTAGAGGGTACTAGACTCTGGCCTGGGGTTGGAATCAATGTTGCTCAGTGACAACAGATGTGCAATTTGTAGCACATAGTAAACACAATAAATGGCAGGTATTAAGGAACTCAGGTCGCTGAGTTCGTAGGGAGCTGCACCACTAATCCAAACAGGATCACTTCTCTGGTGGTTTGAATCCACCAGCCACTGTGCAGAAGAAAGATCTGTACTCTCCTCCCATGCAAATTACAGCCTTAGGAAAACAGCTGGAGGGTCGTCAATTAGTTACTTTTTACTTGATTGCAATGAAATTGAGTTTTTGGTGGGTTTCTGTTAACAAAATTACCAATTTTTACCCTGTCTTTTCCAAATAATTCAACTATACAGTGTTTATCAAATACCTGTTATTGTTATTGTTGTTGTTACGTGCTAAGTCACCTGTGCTCATAGCCATCCTGTGAACAGATTTGAACCGTGCCTTATCTTGTGCCATCCTCACGATCTCTGATCTGTTTGAGCCCATTGTTATAATTAATAACTGTGTCAAATTAATCTTTTTGGAGGTCTTCCTCTCTTTCTCTGACCCTCCACCTTTCTCAGCATGATGTCTTTTTTCCAAGAACTGACCCCTTCTGACAACATGCTCAAAATATGTGAGGTAGAGTTTTATGGTCCTTGACTTTAAGGAACTCCTTGGTTTTACTTCTTCCAGGATAGACTTGTTTGTTCTTTGGAAGTCCATGGGATATTTAGTACTTTCCTTCAATGCTACAATTCAAAGGCATCGATTCTTCTGTCATTCATTGCCCGACTTGCAGATGCTTGGATCAGGTGAATCCTACTACTTGCTAAGTGAGTAGGGAGTTTTGGTGCTATCCCAAAGATGAGTGGTTTGAATCCACCAGGCTGCTCTGAGGGAGAAAGATGGGCAATCTTCCCTAAGAGATACAGCCTACTGAAAGCCTACTGGGTGGGGGGGGGGTAATTTCTGACTCGACAGCTATAAGTGAGTGAGACTGCTTGCTAGGAATAGTGCTGTGGATGCAGCTGGAAAAGATCTTGATCTCCTCACAAAGTTTGTAATACGTGGCTCTGAACTTGAGAGAACAACTCGATTCATTGCCATCGAGCATCGAGTCATAGACTTCCTCCAGCTGATTTTCAGAGCCTATAAATTCATACAGGACAAGATTGCCCATCTGTCTCCCATGAGGCTACTGGTATAGTCAAAATTCCTGGCTTTATGTTGAGAGTGCAACTTGTGACTCACTAGCCTCCTTGAACTCACTAAACTCACTAGCTCCTTGAATTTTTTAGTTACAAAGACAGAAACTTGATTCTTTGTTTGCACACTTACAGCCTGTGAGCAAATTGAGACCACAGGCATGCTTTTTTATCTTGCATTGTATTTTGGAAAAGAATAAATTTTGTAACCAGAAAAATAATTTTGTTTCATAGAGGAAGAATTTTTTTAAACACTTTTCTCAAGAAAGTGCCCTGACCTGACCTACATTCCTAATTGGCAGCAGTTGGCTGGAGCTGAGTAAGCAGTAGGGCTGGCTTCATGGGCGTGTTACCAGTACAGTCACAGAGGGCCCCACTCAGATGGGTTGTGTGCCTGGCATTTAATGTTCTCTAGTCAACATCTTAAAATTATTTATTTCATCTTTGAATTTGTATTTTGTAAGTGAATTCTGGTTGGACAATGAGACTTGTGCTGTGATCTTAAAACCTCAGCTTTCATGTGATGCCACCTCTGATGCCTTCACAAAATTAGTCCTTTGAGGTCCTGAGCCCTGACCAGCTTCTCCCTCCCCCACTGAGTCAGTAACTTCCCACCCTCTGTCCTCCTCAGGGATCTGAGTGAGGGACTTGATCTGCCCTCAGCTTGCAGTGTCATGGACTGATCAGTGGTGAGCTTTTGGAGGCAGGAAGCAAACCTCATGCCCAACCACAACCTAGGTAATTTAATGCATTCTTTCATGGAGGCTGCAGTCAAAAATGTTTTGAGGTTGTCCAGCTGCTGTGGGTTGGTGTGGCAGGCCTGTGAAGAGGGGAGATGCTTGGCTGAACTTTCCCACCCCAAGTGAGGACACAGTGTGAGTCCTGAGGCTGTTGGAGGGGAAGCAGTGCGTACCTCGTCCCATGGACCCTTGTATGTCTGTAGAGGGTCTGCTGCACCCATCCTCTAATTTTTGTGTATCTTAGAGAGCACATTGGCTAAAAGGCAAATAAAAACTTGATTATAGGTAGGGAGAAAGACTACAAAAGAAAGGGGGAAATTCTTTTTAATAGCATTTTAAGAGAAAATTAACAAAAGAAAAAAGTTTTAAGAAAAAAATTAACAAAATGATTTGATTTTGTACTGTGCCTTGAAAATTAAGGCACAATTTGAGGACATGTACTCACATGCCACTTTACTATTTGGACTTCTCTCGTTTTAGGTTTGGGGTTTATGTTTCTTCAGTTACGTGTTTCACTGAAAAACTAGTGAAGCACAATCATAGTGAGTCACAGCTGTTCTGGAATCTAAGAGACATTTCCTGCAGTGTCCTCAAAGCATCCCTTCCAATGAATAAATCATCAGGTTTCTTTTCCTATAAAATTCCTCATTGTAGCCTGAACAAGTGATGTCACACAGCATTGTTTAGTTAAGCAGTACCCTAAGAATCTAAAATAATGTAATTTAGACAGTCTTAAGTAATCACATTTTCTAATCAAGAAGAGCTTAATTTTTCTTTCTGTTTTTGATCAGTTTTATATTTAGAGAAGGAAATTTTGAGATTGATTCTATTTTAAGCACAGCCTGAATTAATGAGCTCAGAACCAGATAAGACTCAGCTGACTCTGGTAGTGACTCAGGTATGTCTCTAATCAAGTTACTTAGCCCATCTTAGTGCCTCTGGGCACCCATATGTTAAGGAGAGGGAGAGCTGGCTGAGCCTCCCTTGATTCTGTTGTGGAAACTCTGAATGATGATTATGAATCATTTACCAAAATAAAAAAGAAAATAACCTGATACAGAAAATAACTGTTGAAAATAACTTGATAGCTAAAAATTTGTTAGTATTTTCTTTACTTCTCTTTTCTTCATTTTTTAAGATCTTATTACCCAGGTGACCCAGGATGACTGCATGTTTTATTTTAGGAATTTAGCTAAAGAATCTATTATCACTATTGTTTTTTGTTGTTACGTGCTTTCAAGGTAGCTATGGCTCATAGCGACCCTATGAACAACGGCTCTGAACCTTGTTCTACCCTGAGTCAACCTCACGTCTCTACCACATTGCCACAGTCACTGCGTTCGTCCCTTGATTATCAAGCATCATGCTCTCATTGCCATCGAGTTAGAATCTGACCCAGCTAGCTGACCCTCTCCCTGGTTTTTGAAGTCTGTAAATTGCACAGGAGGAGATTGCCCATCTTTCTCCAGAGGAGCTGCCATCAGAACTGAACCACTAGAGAGGTGTTGCCTTTGGGTTTGCAGTGCAGTTCTCTACAGACAACATCACCAGAGCTCCCATCGGCAGGCTTAGCAAAGGCAATATGGTAACAAGCGTTAAGTGCTTGTTTTAAAAGTAGGACAGAGGACACCCATTTCTAAATATCTTTCAGTTTACCTAAACTTAAATTGCCTTCTAAAGTATAATACCAGATATCTACAAAAACATGCTAAACTTATACAGGAAGTCACAAATCAGTGATTAGGTAGCAAAGATTATATGCTAAGGGAAATAGCTATATAAGGGAATGGAGTATATTCTAAAAATAGTATTTATTTTTTAATTTTTTCTTTTACCATTTGTACAAATGTTTTAATTATTTCACTCCTGGGGACACCATGACTAAATAGCCACCACCATAAATCCAGAGGAATTAAATGATTCTGATACTGCTTTTAAACTACTGTTCAGTATGATAGCTTACACTCACTTTTTCTTTGTTAAGTGTATCCACTTGGCCCAGTTTAAAGACAAGTTGTACCTAATCCAAACTCTGGTGGGTTTTTGTTTTGTTTTTTTCTAGTTATATTTCCATTTCTATAATAATGGTCTTATATGTGTCTATAGTTTTTGTCCTTATGAAACTGAATTCAGTTAGCATAATACTCTCCAGTCCCTCCCAAGTTAGGTAGTGATTTTGAAAATCGTTGTTCCTACATGCTATTGCATCTTGTGGATGCACCATAATTTCTCAATCTGTTCCATTTTGGTTGGACATTTGGGCTGTTTCTATGTTCTAGCGATTGTGAATAATGTTGCTATGAACATTGGTGTACAAATCTCCTTTTGTGCCTTACTTAAAATTTTCTCAGAGTATATTCCAACCAGTGGAATAGCTGCATCACATGGAATTTCTGTGTTCAGCTTTTTGAGGAAATGCCAAACTGCCTTCCAGAGGCATTGTGCCATTTTTCAGCCCCACTAACAGTGTATAAGAGTTCCTATCTCCACTTCCTCTCCAACATTATTACTTGCCGTCCTGTTAAACTTTACCACTGCTATTTGGGTGAGATGGTATCTCATTTTGGTTTTGATTTGCATCTCTCTTATTTCCAGTGATTTTGAGCATTTCTTCATGTGTCTGTCTGCCATCTGAGTATCTTCCTCTGTGAAAAGTCTTTCCATATCGTTTGCCCATTAAAAATAGTATCTTTTAGAAATCACAGTCACCTTCCTTTCAGAGCATCTTTTGTTATTGATTAGAGGATGTCTTTGGTTTGTTTTTTTTTAAGTGTACAGCACACATTTATTACCAACAACCCTCTCAACTCCAAAATTGGGCACAGGGATTAAAAATAAAAATTCATTGCCCTACTTAGTAAAGCATTACTAGTAACTTTCATAAAAAATGTACAAACTTTGTTAAAAATTCATCAAGCCTTCAAATGATTTGGTTACAGATATTTATAATATGTACATTTAAAACTATATGTTAACTGATACAATGGTATATGACTTGAGAAAACGACTCAGCAAATGATTCCAAATACACCCCTGTAAGCTTAGATATTTTTTTTTGTCCCATGATTCATGAGACACTTGGATTATCACTAGAATATTCATATTGAATTAAGAATCAACTTCTATGGGGGAGGCGGGGGGAAGGGCTGGGCAGGGAGAAAAGTGCAACAGTGAATGAATGGAAATCCAAAATCTCTGTAAATGTTCATTAAAATTATTAAAATAAAAGAATCAACTTCTAGATAAACTATTACCAGTCATCTTTCTTACACCAGATTGTAGAATTGCCAGAGGTACCATTTCTATATAAAAATAAGATTACTTACTCTCAGTAATTGTACTCAGTGCATCTTCAGTGATTCTTGACCCTGGCCTTCCTGTTTTGCTAAGATAGCTGCTTATCAGAAACCACTATGCCTAAGGCCAAGCTGAGTTTTTTGTTTCTATTTTCCACTCTCATATAGAATTGTCACCTATGTTATTATGCCATTGAATTGGAACTGACCCATAGCCAACCCTCCAGTGGGTTTTCAGAGGAAGTAAATCACATGGGCTCCTGTGTCTTGACTCATCCCTTTTCCCACTCCTCCAGCATCCCCTTCCACTCTCGCCTATCCCGTTCAACACCTCTCTCCCCCTATCCAGACCTTGATATGATGGGTTAAGTCTCAAGCCTTCTGTGATTCCAAATGCCTTGCGTTGCTGCTGGTCCCATATGCTGTGGCCAGTATCTTTTGAATTCAGGAGTCTCTAAGTCCAAATTCTAGGTACTAATATTAGGCTTTCTATCTCAGATGGTTCTGAGGAAAAGTCCTTTGCCTTGAACGTCAGGGACCTCTCTACAGTACCATAGAGCAACGGTGTCATTCTGGAGACTAAGGTGTATCTGGCTCAGGCTATAGTCTTTGCAATTACTTGCTATGCATCAAAAAGCTGAACAATGACTAGAAATGATAGAAGGAGAATTCATACCTTTGAGCTGTGGTGCTAGGGAAGAGTACTGAATATAGCATGGACTGCTGGGAGACCAAACAGGTTCATCCTAGAGAGGGTGAAACCAGGCTGCTCCTTGGAGGCAAGGATTCTGAAGCTTCATCTGACATATTTTGGGCATGTTGCGAGGAGGGACCAGTCCTTGGAGAGCAATATTATGATTGAGAGGGTGGAGGGACCGTGCAAGAAATGAAGATCCTCGATGAGATGGATTGATTCAGTTACTGAGGTAATGGGCATTAGTGTGTCCAAGACGATAAGGTTGGTTCAGGATAGAGCAGGGTTCAGAGCTGTTGTACGTAGGGTTGCTATGAGTTGCAAGCAAGTTGACGGCACATAACAACAGATCACATGGGAAGAGATTGCCGATCTTTCTCTAGAAGAGCAGCTGATGGATTCGAACCACATGCCTTTGGGATTACAGCACAGCTTCTTACTACTAGGCCACCAGAGCTCCCTGTCTTCACCTATAGTGTTCTTTTTTTCAGGGTGATCATAGTTTTAAGCAGTCCAAAGATACGGAAGAGAGGCTCAAAGTTATCCCAAAATTTTGTTTTCCTGATTCAAAGGACTGGATGCCAACCTCAGAACTCAGGAGGTAAATGGACCACTTTATCTGATTTCCTTTGTTGAAAGTGTAAATGTAGAGATGGGTTATTTGAGAAATGGGTAGAGCAGCAAAGAATCCCAAGTGAATAGTGTCAGGTCAAGGATGCTGTGGAAGGAAGTGAAGGAACAGATTTAGACCATTTCCGATGTGCAGCTCAAAAGAAAAACACCAGATCCTTTCAGTGTCAGAGAGAAGGAAAGTAACTATGAGCGTCTCGTTGGTTTACCAGTTCTGCAGGAAGGAAAAAAATAGTTCCACTATAAATACAATCAGAAATACTCCTAAGTCAGCAGAAAAAGAAATAAAATTTAGACTCTAGGACTTTATCCAGAAACAGTGGTGAAACAGAGCAGTGTCTGGACCTTGTTTCTCCTTCGTGTTTATAGGAAGAGCCTCAGCCCAGTTTCTTTTGTTTCCCACAGAATTTGTTGTACAGAGGGAGGCTCCACATTGAGAGGTGGAGGTGGATGAGTGTAGATTTTACTTGCTGTATTCAGAAGGGCAAGTGCTAAAGTCTTTCTGCCCAGTATCTAGTGGAAATGACCATTTAAAATTACTAAACCTTCATCATCTCTGGATCTCGTTTGTAAATAGATAACGGCTTTGTTCAAATCATAATTAATGATGATCCTGTTTAATGCTGAAAACCTTGATGATGTGAACCATGTCCCATGCAGATGATCTGCTGGATGACAGCCTCAGCTGTTGCTTAAGTAGCTCTACCCTTCAGCATCAGTTGTTCCCAGGCTAAGCTGCTGTCTCATAACCAGTTTAGCTGGATTGCCATGCTCATCCATTAGCCATCAATCCCAGGGCTTTGAGGTTGTCAAATCCACTGTTAATCTCAAAACAGTTTCTTTCACATGAGCCTGGCTGCTCTGTGGTTGGCATTCCACCCTGAAAAGCTATATATCTTTGTTGTAGAATATTTTGGCAATGCCAAAAAGTGAAACAAATAGAAATTAGAACTCATGGGCAGTCTCATTACCCAGAGATAAGTGTAACTATTTTGGCATACTCTTCCAGTCTTTATTTTGAGCATAAATAGATATATCCATGCCTTGTTTAAATTTGAATTTCTTTCTTTATTGAATTTGTTTTTCAGTCATCTTACAGATCTTGTAAATTAGCTATGCATGCCTTCTGCTCATGTTTCTAGTGAAGAATTGATCTTTTTCCTGTTGATTTTTATATAGTAAGGAACACTATGTAAAGTTCCTGTATAATAGGTCACTGTTCCGTGTGGTTTCTCAGAACAAAATATAATAATTTAAAAGTAGAAAATGGCTTATCAAAATCCTTCATAGCTTATTTACATCTCTTAGTTACATAGTAATTCTATAATAAATATCAGAAGTGGTTGGCTTTAACAAACAGAAATTTATTCTCACACAATTTAAGAGGTTCAAAGTCCAAATTCAAGGTGCTGGCCCTAGAGGAAGGTTTTCTGCCTCTAGATCCCCAGACTGTGGGAGTTTCCCAGCACAGGAACCTAGTTGCAAGGTCACTATACCTCTACTCACATCTCTTTCCTTTCATCTCTTATCTTGTAAGAAAGGTGTTACCAAGCCAGCCCAGGGGAGAGCTATCTGTACATCTGTGACCTGATAAAGGGTGTTGCATCTCAACCCCCATCTCCTTGTAACTGATCACATCATTACATAATTGCCTCTGATCCGGCATCATTAGCATCAGAGAGATTAGGATATATGACATCTAGTTTAATAATATTGGGAACTGTGGTCTAGCCAAGTTTACATATATTTTGAGGGGGCACACAGTTCAATCCATGATACCATATGTTTGACTAAATCAAACGCGCAACAAAGAGGAAATAGATCTAATTAACAACTAAAGTGAATAATTAAAAATGGAATCAGTGACTCATTCAATACCTGTTCTTTCACTTTGGTCCAAGGCAAAATATTCTTAAGGCCATTTTCCCTGAGGATGAATGATAGTAATGTCTTTCTGAGATCATAAAATAACTGTTGCCGGACCCTTTTTTTTAGTGATTTTTTTTTTCATGAAGAAGTCAGAAGTGGTTATTTAAGTCTTAAAATAACAATTAACTTTTTTCCCTCAGTGAAACTTTCTCTTTTGTCCTGACTGGTGAAGATGGCAGCCGGTGGTTTGGTTACTGTAAGAAGCTCTTGGTAAGTACTAGACTTAATGTCACTAGCAGGAATGGCAGCTGTCAAGGCACAGTAAATCACACTAGCAACGTCAGAACTACTATTGCTGGATGAGTTTGAGAGTAACTCAAAGATCTGAGTTTTAAAGATCCTGTAAACAGTGAGAGCAAGGTCAGACTTAGCCGTAGTGCTTCAAAATAGAAGGATGTGTTATTTACATAGTTATTTTTGTAGTAGAGAAAGAAGCTGCTGAGGTAGTATCTAGATAGCAGTATGTATAGTTTTGAAGGATAGTACAAATGAACTGATCGAGGGAGTTCTGAGTTACTTACATTGAGACTTTGTTCTTGCATAGTCTCCTCCACTATTCTACTAAACCTGGAATAGATCCTATTACTAGTTGTCCCTTATTTACAATGAAGTTTCATTCCATGAGTCTGTTATCATCTTTTGTTATAATTGTTTCTGTAAATTTGATCATTATTTGTCTTTGGGTTGGAACATTACTTAGAAACATCTGTGTGTGAACATTTGAATATATCACAAAATTACCATTTTACCATCATATGACATACATATGTTAACAGTAAGATATACTGAAACAAGCCCATTAACAGTCCTAAATGCAGTTCATTATAATTTGAGTACATCATTAGAGATTACCTATATCACTTTTAGGGAGCATTGGTGGCTTAGTGGTAAGGCGTTGTACTTTCAACTCAAAGGTACATGGTTCAAATCCACCAGTTATTCAAGAGGAGAAAGATGGACAGTCTCCTCCCCTATGATTTACTGCCTCTGAAAACCCATTGGAGGGTCGGCTATGAGTTGGTTCCAAGTTGACGGTACATAAAAGCAAAAGGATGTCATTTTTTCACAATCTCCCTTATTGTTGTCTCTGTAGATTCAGTGAGGTCAAGAGTATTGATTCCTGCTCTGCACTTAAAAGTGTATTACTAGTCCAGATTAGTAAGACTTGTATGGCTTCATTTTTGTTTTGTTGGTTTGTTGGTTTTGTTTTTGTTTTTGTTTTTTTCCCCTTTTAGCCAGAAGGCAGAGGGCAGCGGCTCCCTGAGGTATACTGCATGGTTAGTCGCCTGGGCTGCTTCAACCTTTTTTCAAAGGTGGGTGAAACATAAACTCTATGAAAAGGAAGAAATTCTGAAAGTCTGTCTCTAATGACTCAAATCAAACAGGTTGCTGTGGAGTTGACTCTGCATCAGGGCTTTCCCACATGTGCAGTGTGAAACTGCCCTGAAGGATTTATGTGGCTGAAGTCTTTATCGAAACAGTTTTCAAGGGCCTTTTCCTTCAGACATACTGGGTGGGTTTAAATTGCCAACATATAAGTTAACAAGCATTTGCACCACTCAACATTAAGTGGTATGGGTTAGATTAGAAAAGATTCCTCAAGGAACTCATGCAGTATTACTTAAAATGGGTGACCTTGGAGGACATTATGCTGAGTGAAATATCAGTCACAAAAGAGCAGGTGCCACTATTGTAGAACGGGACTGACATCAGGGTTGGGGTGAGACTGAGAAAAATTGGGTAAATTATGTATACTGCATTGAAACAGATGAGGGAGAGAACTGTTTGAAAGCAATATATGATTGGCTATTATGGTCATGACAAGAGTCCAGAATGAAGGTTGCATATTGGAGTGTACTTGGGGTGAGAGGGGGGATTCTATACCAAGAAAAGAATTTTTCTTTTACTTTTCAAAGAGAAGAGCTAACTGGGGGGAGGGGTGGGTAGGGAGAAAAATGCAACAATGAATGTATGGAAGTCCAAAATCTCTCTAAACATTCATTAAAATTAATTTTAAAAAAATTTTAAAGAAGAAAAGATTCCTCATTAGTAGTTATAAATAATAAGCATGAAGGTGTAACTTTAGATATCTGATCCAGCTGTTATTGGTGTATAATCAGTCCCGTATTTTATTTCCTAAAACTCAATTTGAAGACCATAACCTAAAGCTCATCTTCTCTCCTGTCTTTCCCAGACTTTAAATTACAAGTATCAGTGTTATGTGCTCTGCCCCTATCTGCAGATGAAATCCTTACAGAAGTGGGAGGGAATCCTTTCCTTTTAAGAAAAGTTGAAGACTTGTTTTGGGAACTTTTTGACACTCAACACCTTTAATGAATATTTATTTGTTGCAGAAGCTTATCTGTCTTAAATGCCATTGATAATACTTGCAAATTTGTCTACCAACACATTAGGAGTTCCTTTTAATAGGATTATTTTTTTATTTTTGAACTTAGTCTGTAATAAGAGAATGTATTTTATACATGTAGATTCTAGATGAAGTAGAAAAGAGAAGAGAAATGTCTCCAGCCCTGGTTCATCCATTCATGCAGAGTGTCATGGAGGCTCCTTTTCCAGCTCCTGGACGAACCATCACAGTTAAGAGCTACCTTCCTGGAGCTGGAGATGGGGTAAGTTAGTAGATTTTTAAAAAACTTTGCGTGTAGGCTTGTTAGAGTCTATACACTCCTAGGAATAAACAATTTCCAGAAGGCTTAGACATTTAATTTTCTATAAATTGAAGAATATGATTTAATCCCATAAGACACTATAGAAATCCCAACTTAGTCCTTAAAAAAGTTGATGTTAGACTCAGGAACCAGTGGTTTTCTAGCTTTTATAAATTGACCATCCTTGTAATGATGATTTTATTGTGCTAAGTGAAGATTTTATATACCACTCATAGATGGCATTAAAGATTTTATCACAAATTTACAGCTGAAAAATGAAGTATTGGGTTTGGAGAATGAGGTGTAGGTAGCTTCATAAACTCTTTGTAGCAAGTCCTGTTTCTTTCATTTATCTTGTAAAGCACAATAGGATCCATTACTATTATCATGAAAGTCTTTTCAACATCAGCTCCTCTAATTGAGATGCTTGCTTTTCAGTCGATTGAACTCTGCCGACCCCTGGATTCTCGACTGGAGCACGTTGATTTTGAATGTCTCTTTAAGTGCTTGAGTGTGTGCCATCTCATCCGCGTGTGTGCTTCTCTTCTTTTGGAAAGGAGAGTCATCTTTGTTGCCAACAGTCTTAGGTGAGAAATCAGCAGAAAGCTTCACTTCGCACTGGTGTTTTACTTGTTCTCTGGGCATATTTTTAAAATGTAGGATCAGTCCTATGATGTAGAATAGTGACATAGATAAAACCAAAGAGTAAATAATCCAGAAGTCATTTGCATTGAGTGATAGCAATGATTTTTTTTTTGAGGCAAGGAAAAAACAATACATTTTGCTTAAAGAGTTGTTAAAAATTAATAATGCTTTCCTAAGTACATGCTGATTTTTAACACAATCAACTGTAGCAAAGAGCTAGATTAAGATGAAACATTTTTAAAGAATTACACATTTAGTAATTACACAGTTGTTCATCTATGGTAATTAATGGGAACTTGTTGATCATTTTAAAAACATACTATCTGTGAAAGGTCTTGTGAGTGTTGTCCTGTATGTGACACTGTTTTCTCATCTTGCTAGCACCTTGTCGAAATGTGGCCATGCCGTGGTAGCCACCCTGTATCCATTTACATGGCAGCACACCTACATCCCAGTCTTGCCAGTGTCTATGATTGACATTGTGTGCTCACCTACCCCCTTCCTCATTGGAATCCTGTCTTGCTCCTTACCACAGCTTCAGGACTTACCCATTGAAGAGGTGAGATGAGTGAAATGGTACCTCAAAGCATGTGGAATGGTTGGCAGTGCATTTACCCCTGACAATTGAAAAAAAAGTTTCTCAAAATGTTACAGTAAGAATCAGTCAGCACAAGAAATGTTCATCCTTTTTGTTAATGAAAGAAGAGAGTTAAAATAACAATTAGTTACTGTGTTCAGTTAATCACATATTAAAAATAATGAAAATGTTGTCCTGTCAAAGGTGTGGGGAAGGAGAAAAGCCAGGGGCAGTTCATTGCATAGATACAGTACTCTACAAATGGCAGAGCCCAGGCTTTGGAGGTGAACCGGAATTGGAATACTTATTTTGGTTCTTGGTATGTCTGTGATTTTGAACATTTAAACCTCTTGAGCCTCAGGTTCTCTGTCTCTATTACTGGAATACATCTTCTCCTCACTTACTTGACTATTTTGTTGTTTGACTTTCCAAATTTAAGACAATAGTGAAGAACAGTCTACTCTCCAGCCCTTTTGTGCATTAATAACATATGCCTGAAAGTAACAACACTGCGGTGCAATGTGAGAGTAACATGGATAGTAGTGATCCAGATTATATTCGTAATCTTGGCCAAGCTGTGATTCTCGGGGTTCTGGCAGTTGTACAATGATGGGTAAAATTATCACTCCCTTGTATGTTTTAATTCTGAGTAGCAGTAAAGCATCTAGTATTGTAGGTGCACATAGTGATCTCTCAATGAACACTCCATGGTCTTTTATTTTTACTCCTCTTTTTATTTTTATTCCTTATGAATTTTAGTATGTACCATAAGGATATTAAATAAAAGATAGTGACATATTAATTACATTATATAAGTAGAATTCTCTAGAAGAATGAAATTTTGGGAACTGAGTTATGGTGGGAAGGACAAAGAAGGTAAAGTATGGCATATTAAGCTGATGGATGTTATAAGTCATAACAGTTACAATTTTTCATTCTCTGCTACAATATGAAAACAACTTGTAAATAGAAAAGGAAAACTAACTAAACTTTGAGTTTCAAATATTAAAATTCTGCCTGTGGAAAAAATTGGTTAACTAACAAATGAAAGCACATGGTCTTTAAGAACACAGGCTATTGTCTACGCATGTGATAGTCTAGTGTACTAAACTGTTTTCTACCTTTTTGTACCTTTTCTACCTTCTTTTTTAAAATAAATTCCACTGTGTTCTATTGAGGTGGAGGGGGAAGAGTACGGTTGTTGTTGTTATTATGTACTGTCAAGTTTGAACAGACTCATAGCTGACCCTCCAGTGGGTTTGCAGAAGTAATAAATCACACAGAAAGAGATCATTATTCTCCTGCAGAGCAGCTGGTAGATTTGAACCACATGCCTTTTTGTTGGCAGTACAATTACTTACCGCTAAGTCACCAGATCTTTTTAAGGGTTCAAGAGTTGTCAATGATTAATATAATTAATATGTTATCACCTTTGTATTATGTGAGAAAAATATTGTAATACACTTGAATTGAAATATGTATCTTATTTGCTAATTTATGACAATAATCTTGAACAAGCAGTGCTATGCAGGGTGGGCTGGGGGGAGGAGGGAAGAAAATGTGCAACAATGATTAAAAAAATTTTTTTTAACTATCTTATTTGCAATAATGAAACATGGGCCAGCCCATTCTTAAGTAATTTGTGAAGCATAGATACTTTGTTTATGTCAAATATAAAAACTAGTTTGGGCTAACTTAATAAAATTTCCTTAAATATTTTTATTTTATTTTTTTATTACTTTTTTTGTGTGTATCGTCAAATCAGATCTGACTGATACAGGAGGAGATTGTTCCTCCTTCTCCAGCAGAGCATCTGGTGGATTTGAACCATGTACCTCTGAGGTTGCAGTGCAGCTTCTTGCCACTAGGCCACCAGAACTTGCCTAAAATTTCCTTAAATATAACACACATTTAACAAGTGCACAAAATAAAATATATGAAAAACAAACACAGAAATCCTAGTGCTGTTGATTGTTTCCAACTTTTAGCAACCTGCACTGAGTTTGTAAGGCTGCATCTTGATGGGCAAGGAATACCTGTCTTTCCTCCAGAGAGTCACTGGTAGAGTCACACTACTAACCTTTCGCATCATTAGTTGGAAAACATGGACTTGGTGACAGAAATGAAGCTGGAGATAGAATAATAGAATTTTGCACAATCAACTATTTTTTCATTGTAAGTACATTTTATAAGAAACATCAACACAGGTTATACACGTGGATTTCATTTGATGATATGCATAGGAATCAGATTGATTCCATAAGTGGAAAGAACTGCTGGAGAAGCTCAATATCTTCTGTGAAAACTAGGCCAGGTGCTGACTGTGGAGCAGAACACCAACTACTCATACACAAGTTCAAGCTGAAGCTAAAGAAAATTAAATCAAGTCCATGGAAAACCAAAATATGACCTTGAGTCTATCCCACCTGAATTTCAAAAGCATCTCAGAAACTAATGTGAGGCCTTGAATACTAATGAGCGAAGACCAGATGAGTTATGGGAGGCTATTAAGAATTATTATCTAGGAAGAGTGAAAAAGGTCATTAGAAAGACAACAGAAGAGGAAGAAAAGACCAAAATGGATATCAGAAGAGACTCTGAATATTACACTAGAGCACCAAGAAGCCAAAGCAGAGGGAAGAAATCAAGATATTAAGGAGCTAAACGAAAGATTTCAAAGGGCTGGGTGTGAAGACAAAGTAAAGTATTATAATGAATTGTGCAAAGAGCTGGAGTCAGAAAATCAAAGGTGCCGAACTCCCTCAGCATTTCTTAAGGTTAAGGAACAGAGGAACAAATTCAAGCCTTGAGTTGAAATACTTAAGGATACTTTGGGCAGAACATTAAATGATCCAGGAAGCATTAATAGAAAATGGAAAGAGTATATAGAGTCATTGTACCGAAAGGAATTGGTGGAAACATAATTTCATGAAACAACATATGAGCAAGAGCCTGTGGTGATGAAGGAAGAAGTTCAGGCTGCTCTGAAGGAACTGGGAAAAATAAGGCTCTAGGAATTGATGGTATACCAATTAATAGATGTCAACAAACAGACGCTTCCCTGGACGCTCACCAAGTTGTGCCAAGAAATATGGAGGACAACCACTTGGCTAACTGACTGGAAGAGAACTATATTTGTTCCCATTCCAAAGAAAAGTGATCCAACAGAGTGTAGACATTATAAAACAGTATCATTGATATCACATGCAAGCAAGATTCTGCTGGAGATTCTCCAAAAACGTTTGGAACAGCTCATCAGCAGGGAACTGCCAGAAGTGTAGGCTAGGTTAGGAAGGGGTCATGGTACTAGTGATATTGTAGCTAATGTTAGATAGAGCTTGGATGAAAGCAGAGAATAACAGAGGAATGTCTGTCTGTGTTTGATTGACTATGTGAAGGCATTTGACTGTGTGGACCACAACAAACTGAACAAGATATGTTCATATCCTTGAAGATGTATCATGGGGGTGTTGCAATCTAGAAGACACAAATTTGACTAACAAGTTATAAGTACATGAGTCCAAAAATTATGGAAAAGTAAAAGAAAAGATTCTTTCATTGTTTTACAAACCCTCCCCCAGGTCCCCTCCACCATGTAGCCCTCGCTCTAGTCTCCTGTGATGACAGAAATACCTAGTTATATATCTCTTTTAAACAGTTTTCTCCCTCCTCTGTTTCAGTGCAGTATACATTATTGAACCCATCTTACTCAGTCTCTCCCCAACCCCAAGGACAGTCCCATTCTACAACAGTGGCATCATATAATATTTGTCCTTTTGTGACTGGGATATTTCACTCAGCATAATGTTCTCCAGAGTCAACCATTTTGAATAATAGTGCATGAGTTCCTTGTTTTTTAATGCAGCATAGTATTCCATTGTGCGAATATACCACAGCTTCTCTAACCATTCGTTTGTTGATGGGCACTTAGGTTGTTTCCAACTCCTTGCTATTGTGAACAAAGCTGCAATAAACATGGGAGTGCATATATCTGCTTGGATGTCAGCTATGGTCTCTTCAGGGTATATTCCCAGTAGTGGAATTGCTGGGTCAAATGGTATCTCTATTTGCAACTTTTTGAGAAAGCGCCATACTGCTTTCCACAGGGGTTGCGCCATTTTACACTCCCACCAACAGTGAATCAGGGTTCCAGTTTCTCCACAACCTCGCCAGCATTTGTTGCTTGCTGTTCTGTTAAATTTTGCTATTTTGACTGGGGTGAAATGATATCTCATAGTTGTTTTAATTTGCATCTCTCTTAGGGCTAGGGATTTTGAGCATTTCTTCATGTGTTTGTTAGCCATCTGAATGTCGTCTTCGGTGAAATGCCTAAGAACAATGATATTAGTCTGGAGACTAAGGTGTGCTTGATCCAGGCCATAGTCTTCACAATTACTAGCTATGCGTCAGAGAGCTAGACAATGACTAGGGATGATAGAAGGGGAATTCATGCCATTGAGCTGTGGTGTTGGAGGAGAGTATTAGATATACCATGGACTGCTAAGAGAACGAAAATATTCATCCTGGAGACGGTGAAACCCGGCTGCTCCTTGGAGGCAGGGATTATGAAGCTTCATCTAACATACTTTGGACATGTTGCAAGGAGGGCCCAGTCCTTGGAGAGGGACATCATGCATGAGGGTAGAGGGACAGCGCAGGAGAGGAAGACCCTCGATGAGATGGATTGATTCAGTGACTGAGGTAATGGGAATAGGTGTGTCAGAGACAAAAAGGTTGGCACAGGATAGATCAGGGTTTAGGGCTGTTGTATATAGGATCACTGAGTCAGAGGCAGTTCGACAGCATGTAACAACCTTTTGCATAGTCACCTACCCCATAATGCAGGACTCCTTAAGTGCCCAAAGTAAAATGTACAGCACAGTGAATTATTTCAGATCTAGCATTTATGTAACCAGCAATGGAATGGAAAAATCGCAACATTACAGAAACTTCTGCCATGCTTCTTTCAGTTTTCCTTCCTCACCCATCCTAGGTTTTGCTTGGTTTTAAACTGTAGATACATTTTAGTTTAAGCTTATCTGCATTGTAAAGAGAAACATTACAATACTCTAGAAGCCCTTGCATACTCCATCTAATCAATACTCCTTCCCTTACCACCCATACTTGGCTTTACTTGATTTTAAATAGGATATACATTAATTTAGACAGTATGTTTTGTCAGTTAAGCTTTGCTTTTTTAATTATATCATTAAAATTAATCCATGTTTCTTAAATAACACACTAGTTTGTTCATTCTTGTTGCTATGTATTATCCTATTGTGTGGATGTATCAGAGTTTATTTATCCATGCTGTAATTGAGAGATATTTTAATTGTTTCCAGTATGGGTTAATGCTGACACAAATATTGTTGCACACAATTCTTGGTACATACTGTGTGTACTTTTATAAGTATACTGGAAAGTGGAGTTGCAGAGTCATGGTATAAGCTTATCTTCAGCTTCTCTAAGTCAGTCAAGTTGTTTTCCAAAGTAATTATACCAGTATTAACTTCTTCACGTAGTGTGTGAAAGTTCTTGTTGCTCCACATTCTCACCAACATTGGTTAAAATCGTTTCATATCAGTTATAATCATTTAACCTATCTGGAGATTGTGGAGCGATACTCTCCTTGTGGTTTAAATTTATATTCCTTGTTTATGACGGAGGTTGAGTATTTTTTCTGTATGTTTTTGGGAGTATGCATATAGTTCTGTGACATTTCCATTTTTCTACTGAATTGTTACCTTATTATTTCTGAGATCTTTTTATACTCTAGCTATTGTTGTCATTGTTCTATGCCATCACACTGACTCATAATTGACCCTTCTTTGGGTATTTGGAGGCTGTAAATCTCATGGGAGGAGACAGTCAACACATCATTGTCCTGATGATTAGAACTATTTGACTTTGGATTGGCAGCTCAATTCCTTATCATTAAGCCACAAAAATATCCCTGTATTCTAGACATCAGTCCTTTTTCAATGGCTTGCATTTTTCACTTTTTATGCCTTCAATATGGATTGAAGCTCAACATCAAAAAAACAAAGATTCTTACCACTGGGCCGATTGGCAACATTGTGATAGATGTTGAAGAAATTGAGATTGTTAACAGCTTTAGTTCACTTGGCTCCACAGTCAAAACTCTTGGTACGAGCAGACAGGAAATAAGAAGACGAATTGCACTGGGAAAGTCTGCTGTTAGAGATCTTGCCAAAGGACTGAAGAGCAATGATGTCATTCTGGAGACTGTGGTGCACCTGATCCAGGCCTTGGTCTTTGCAATTACTTGCTATGCATCAGAAAGCTGGACAATGACGAGGGAGAATTGATGCTTTTGAGCTGTGGTGTTGAAAAAGAGTATTGAATATATCATGGACTGCTAGGAGAACAAACAAGTTTTTCCTAGAGAGGGTAAGACCAGGCTGTTCCTTGGAGGCAAGGATTTTGAAACTTCATCTGACATACTTTGGACATGTTATAAGGAGGGACCAGTCCTTGGAGAGGGACATCATGCTTGGGAGGGTGGAGGGACAGTGCAAGAGAGGAAGACCCTTGATGAGATGGATTGATTCAGTGACTGGGGTAATGGGGGTAGGTGTGTCAAGAGACAATAAGATTGACACAGGATAGAACAGACTTAGGGTTGTTGTACATAGGGTCACTATGAGTCACAGGCAATTCAAGGCACATAACAACAACTACGGTGTCCAAATTATCGGTTTTTTCTTTTATAGTTTATGATTACTGTGAGCTTCTTCAGTATATTTTTATAATACTTTAATGAAGATATTATATTATCTCCTGGAACCTTGATTATTATTTTGTCTTCCACTTTTAGTTCTGCATTAACCTAGAACTTGCTTTTAGTGTATAGTATGAGGAAGGGATCAAACTTTTTTAAAAAATAAACAATTTCTATCCAGTTGTTCCAGCGCCATGTATTGAACAGACTATTTCCCACTACTCTGCTGGGTTAACATATTTTAAAACTTTTTTATTATGGACAATTTCAAAGAAAGTCTCACTCTCTACTGTCCAGTCAGTTCTGACTCATAGAGATCCTAAATAGAATTTCTGAGCCTGTAAATGGAAATGAGAAGATATTGCCCGTCATTTTCCTGAGGATTCCGACCACCAGAGATGCACAATCTTTAGGTTAGCAGCACAACTTGCAACTGTGCCACCTGGCTCCTTAGATGTCTTTCATCCTACTTTGTTGTTATTGTTGTTGAGTGCCATCGAGTTGCATATGACTTATAGTGACCTTATGAAAAACTGATCTGAGCTCCATACCTCTAATAAGATAGCTACCCATGTTCCTCTGATGTTCATAGGGCTTTCGAGAACCTATTACTTCAGAAGTTGATGGCCAGTCCTGCTTCCTCATCTTTCTTAATCTAGGAGCTCCGCTGAAACCTATCCACCATGTGCGACCCTCCTGTCACTGGAAACACTAATGACAGAGCTTCCAGCATCACAGTTATCCACCAGCAAGCTACTGATAGAAAACTACTGCTCTTAATTTATGACTTAGAAAATAACTTATGACTTGGTTTTGTCCTTACTGATTTATCCTTCTATAATACTTTAAGGGAGCTCTGATGGCCTAGTAGCATTTCCAAAAGCACCCAGTTCAAATCTGCCAGCTGCTTCTGGGGAGAAGGATGCACAGTCTCCTCTCGTAGGATTTCAGCCTCTGAAAACCCACGGGATGGTCAATTATGTGTTGATTTCAGCCTGATAACATAAACAACATCAACAAAGTAATACTTTGAGCTCTGGTTGGCTTAGTGCACTGCCAACCCAGGACTATGCAGTCCAAATCCCACTAGCTGTTCTGTGGAAGAAAGACGGGCAGTCTCCTCCTTTGCAATATTAGCCTCTAAAACATAGGAACACCTTTAATGTAACTACAATACTGTTAGCACAACTAGAACATTTAATACTTCTTTAAAATAAGCAAAATCCAGTGTTTTTACTACTAATCGGTCTCATAAACTTTTAATACTTTATTGTTAAAGCAAGGCTTAAATAAAACCTATCCATTGCATTTGGTTGATTTTCTTTACATTTTTTTACATTGATTTGTAAAATGTGCACAACATTTTTTTTTAGTTTACAATTTATTGGTTGATGTACTCACTTTTAAGTGGCTGAAGGTTTTAGTTCATTTTAAAACATTTTCATTGCTTAGAAGAATCAAGTTTTCTTCCTCAAAACTGCCTTGTGTAAGGGACTTGTCCATGAATGTTTCTGGATTAACTTGCCTGGTCTCTCTATCTCACAGGTACTGATAGTTGATCTCTGTGCAGACAAGTTCTTACAGGAGGTGAGTGATTACTTAAGGTGATTACATAATATTTGAGGATAAAGGTCTCTTTGTAAATAATTGGACAGAAAATATGTGAAAGTACTTAGAGAAGATAACTCAAGCAAGACTCTGAGCTTCCACATGCACTTGAATTTACACTATGGCAAATCATACAAGATTGACCTGAAAATTATGACTTCGGTTTATAGCTGTCCATCCTAAAGAAGGAAGGAGGAAACAGAATCGCTATTTTTAAGAGATGACCCTCCCTTCAAGTCCAAATGGATTGACATATAAACCTCTAAATGTATTAAGTTTAATAAGATTTATTAAGTAATATTATTTTAGAAAAAACACAAATGGCATAGTGTGCTGGGGTTGGGTGCAAGCTGAAAAGCTGGTGGTTTGAATCCCCATCCACAACAAGGGAAAAGACAAGCAGTCAGGCTTCTCTCAGGAAAACTTACAACCTCGGGAATTGAATGGAGGGGTCACCATGAGTCAGACTCGAGTCAACAGCAGTAGTTTTGGTTTTATTTTAGATCATTTCTAGATATTCTGTTATGTAGTTCAAACTTAGATTAGTAAGAAACAGTTTGAGCCCCCAGGATCTATAGTCTGACTTGGGGTGGGGAACAAACAAAAGAAGTAAATTTAGAAACATTTAGAAATAGCAATATTAGAAGTTTGTGGAAGCTACAAAATCCACTGATAATCCACTGATACTGAGCAGGTTTCTGCTCATAATGACCCTGGAGGGCAAAATACACCTTCCCCCACAGGGTTTCAGAGCTTGTAAATCTTAGAAGAGCAAATTGCCTCATCCTGTGGAGCAGTGATAGGTTTGAACTGCTGGCCTTTTGGATAACAGTCCATTGTTTAATAAATTTTGCCACTAGGGCTCCTCATGCAAGGTGCAGTGGGGATGGGGGCTGCAGTGTGGAGGGGAGAAATGGTCATTTATCCTGGATAAATGGATATTTAAGTGGAAAAGAGCTTAGAGAAAGGGCTTTGAACCAGTACATTTCAGCTTAACCCCTTGCTGAGAATTTACATTTTCACCCAGATGTATTGAATCAGCATCTACATTTTAACAAAATCTCACCAGTTCGTTCTTAATTATACAGATAAGTGCCACTTCACATTCAAGATGTGTTCTGTGAAAGAGGATGTTATGTGATTTATGTGTTAGGAGTGGTTATTGTACAAACATTGTATTCAGAGCTCAGCTTCTGGTTGTCCTCATCACTGTAGCTACCACTCCTGGTGCTGGTGGAGTCCGAGGCAGGAGCCTAGAGGGAATGACAGCTGCGGTGGATATAGCTGAGAGGGCAGCTGCAGAGGTGAAGTGAGAGGAAGGCAGCAGGGAGAAATTGCAGTGTGCCCAGTCCCCGCCTGCTTCCATGACAAGCCCTACAGCCTACACCCAAAGCCATGTACTCTGCCTCATCTTTTCTGTAACTTGTATCCAGTGCTGCAAGAAACTAGATAGAGGTCTTTAACATGTTGCCGCACACTTTTTAAATTGATGACCGTGCTTAGAAACACATTTGCCGTCATTTGCGGCAACCAACTCCTGGTGACCTTATGTCCAACAAAATGAATGGACATTGAGTGATGCGTACCTACACATAGGATCACCTGGAGATTTTGTTTAAATGTAGATTCTGATTCAGTATACCTTAGGGAGAAAGGCAAATTCTTAGCAGGAGGTTCATACACAAGGTGTATAAGCTCTGAAATAAAGGTGAAAACAGTGTTTTGTACGGCTTTGTCTCATTTCAAAGATCAAGTAGCTCATCACATTTAAAATACCATTATTTAGGATGGACTTTGTAATATCACATGAGACTTGCTGATGAGAGATGTTTGGAGGAAAGTGCTGGTTATTGAAATTATTTTATGTAAGACAAAGTTTATGAAGTATATTACTTCTACATTTTTATGGTTAAGATAAATAACCATAAATATGTACTCAGCTCACATAGAGAAGAAAATTGCAGACTGATTGTTTAGCAAAAATAAATTTACTACTGTGGGATTTGGGGACCTGATGAGTTCCTGATTGAGATTCTCTTCCTCAAAACACATGTGAAATTTCAATTTCTTTTAAGGTATCTGATGAGGATGAAATCCTACCACCTAAACTCCAGGCTGCTCTGATGCAGATTTTGGAAGAGCGAAATGAAATTTTGACCCAGGAGCAGAATTTTTCACAAGGTATGAGATAAGAAAATTCAGGGTTTCAGGGCAAAGCTGTGAACAGTTACAGGATGTTCAGCACCCTGCTGAGCAGTCATGACTATACAAAAGAGGTTTTGGAGTGCCTGTGCAGTACAAATAATGTAACCAGCTTCCTTGCTAACCCTCACATATGCTAGGCCCTCTTGTATCTCAGAACCACTATACTTGCTCTGTTCCGTTTATATCTCTCCACCTTCCAGATAACCTCACAGCTGTGTGCTTTCTTCCTTTGGGTCCATGCTACCAATAAGACCCTTCCCAACCACCCTAGTTAAAGCTGTACCTATTCTCCCAATATTTTTCATCCTCCTTTCATGTCTAATTTTTCTCCATGGTTCATACCACTTTCTGATGACCTAGTTGTAAATTCTATAAAAGCAGTGATTTTGTTTTGTACTTCAAACAGTATTAAAATAAGTATTAATAGATACTCAATACATACATGTCTCAGTTATCCAGTTCTGCTGTCACAGAAATCTATAAATAGGTAGTTTTAACAAACAAAAGTTTATTTTCTCATAGTTGAGGAAGCTACAAGTCTGAATTTGGTGTGCCAGCTCAAGGGAAGATTATATGTCTCTCTTGTGTCTAAAGACGGTCCTTTTCTCTTCGAAGTTTCTGCTTCTGGGCAATCATATGACATGACATGTCATCTTTTTTCTGCTTGCTTTTTTACATCTCAGAAGATAGTAGGTTACCTACAAGCAGGAGAAGATAAAATAGATGAATGGGACCTTCTAAGAATCAAATCCCTATGCACATCCAAAAACTTCTCCAGGTAAAAAAGGAAGCCACAGACTGGGAAGAAATATTTGGTGACATGTCTGATACGGGACTTATATCTAAAATTTATTGATTTCTCAATTGCCACAACAAGATAAAGGTAAACAGCCCAGTTGCAAAATGGGCACAGCATATGAACAAACACTTGACCAAAGAAGACATTCATATCACCAACAAACACATGAAGAAATGTTCAAAATCCCTAGCCCAAAGAGAGATGAAAATCAAAACAACTATGAGATATCTCACCCCAGTAGGAATAGCAAAATTTAACAAAACACCAAATAACAAATGCTGGCGAGATTGTGGAAAAACTGGAACCCTTATTCACTGTTGGTGGGAGTGCAACCACTATGGAAGGCAGTAAAACACTTTCTCAAAAAGTTGGATATAGAAATACCGTTTGACCCAACATTTCCACTACTGGGAATATATGCTAAATAAATCCGAACTGGACACCCAAGCAGATATATGCACACCCATGTTTATTGCTGCTTTGTTCACAACTGCAAAGAGTTGGAAACAACTCAAGTGCCCATCAACAGTGAATGGATAAAGAAGCTGTGGTATAGCCACACAATGGAATACTATGCAGCACTGAAAAACAAAGAACTCATGAAAAACTATACAAAATAGTGACCATGGAGGACATTATGCTGAGTGAAGTATCTCAGTCACAAAAAAAAAATGCTGCATAATGCCACTATTGTAAAGCGGGACTGACATCGGGGCTGGGGGAAAACTAAGAAAAGAGAGGATAAATAATGTATACTACATTGAAACAGATAAGGGAGAGAACTGTATAAAAGGAATATATGATTAGGTATTATTGGCATGACAAGAGTCCAGAACAAGAGCTGCATAGTAAAGTGGAGAATTTTTTTTTCCAATGAAAAAAGCAAACTGGGGAGAGGGGAACAGGGAGGAAAATGTGCAACAATGAATGAGTGCAAATCCAAGTTCTCTATAAACCTTAATTAAAATCTTAGTTTAAAAAAAGATTAATCACCTTTGGACTGCAACAGTAGTTTTATCCAGTATTTTTCCTTTAGCAACTCAGTTATTTCACTAAGCATCATTATTTGATTTCATGACTGCTCTTCCAGGGTCATTGATTGTTGAATTTGTTATCATGGTTCAGAATTAAGTGGTTTGATAATTTCTTACTGCAGAGGCTGATGCTGGACTTGATTATTTTGAGCTTCAGTTACCATACTTGTAAAAGGGAAATAATATTATCTTCGTACCTCATAGTCTTTCTTCATGAATGATATTTTTTTATATCATCCCACAGCTCATCTGGTCTTCGTTTATTAGTGTTCAGAGTCTCAACCCTGTTCTTAAGATGGTTTTTGAATTCTGATTGGATAGACTTAAGGTCATATTTTAGTTCTTGTGAATTAGTTTTTACTTCCTTTAGCTTCAATTTGAATTTGCACATGATTACTTGATGGCTTTTTCCACAGTTAGAACCTGGCCTTGTTTCCTTAGCTGATCTTGAGGGTAAAAGATATTTACAATCAATAAATCATTGATGGTACAAAATTCTGTCTCCAGCCTTATTTCTGTCACCAAGCTCATATTTTTCAACTACTGGTCCTTCCTTCTTCCTTTTTCCCACTTTTGCATTCCTGTCACTAATTAGTAATAATGACTCTTGGTTGCATGCTCAACTGTTATCAGATAAAGATCAATTGCAAAGATCCTCACCCTTGTCCCAGTTGGCACCATTGTGATAGGTAGAGAAGAGGTTGAGGTTGTTAACTGTTTCATCTTACTCATACTCATTCATCCTTGGCTCCAGCAGTCAGGAAATCAAAGGTAGATTTGCATTGGGGAAATCTACCGCAGAGTTCTAAAGAGCAATGATGTCAGTCTGGAGACTAATGGTGTGCCTGATCAAGGCCATGGTCCTCTTAGTTGCTTGCTATGCATCTGAGAGATGCACAGTGACCAAGGATGGCAGAAGAAGAATTGATGCCTTTGAGGTGTGGTGCTAGAGAAGAATATTGAACATTCCGTGGCCTGCCAAGAGAACAAACAGATCTGTCCTGGAGAGTATAAAACCAAGTAGCTCCTTGGAGGCAAAGGTTTTGAAGCTCCCATCTCAAATTCTTTGTGCATGTTGCCAGGAGGGACCAGTCTTTGGAGAAGGACATATGCTTGGAAGGGTAGAGGGTCAGCAGAGGAGAAGAAGATCATGGATGAGATGGATTCACACAGTGACTATGGCAGTGGGGGCAGTTGTGTCAGAGACAGCGAGATTGACTTGAAATATGGCAGGATTCAGAACTGTCGTTCATAGAGTCACACTATGAGTCATAGTTGACTTGACGGCACATAACAACTAACAACCATAGGTATTGATGGTGGATCCAAGTAAAATTAAATTGTTGACAACTTCAGTCTTTTCTCCATATATCATGATGTTGTTGCCTTTTTGTCCACTGTTAAGGACTTTTGGGTTTGGTTGGGGGGTTTTTTATGTTGAGATGGGGAGATTATTTTAAAAAATAGTTAAAACAGTACATCAACAAAGAGATGTCAGAAATTCAGTCTGGATTTAGAAAAGACCAAGGCGCTAGGGACATCATTGCTGATGTCAGATGGATCCTGGCTGAAAGCAGAGAAAACCAAAAGGATGTCTATCTGTGTATTATTCACTATGCTAAGGCATTTTAAACCATGGGGTTTAAATTATTGGATAATATTAATACCACATGCAAGTCAAGTCTTGCTGAAGATTATTTTTAAAAGTCTGAAACAGTACACCAGGCAAAGAACTTCCAGAAATTCAACCTGGATTCAGAAGATGCTGTGGAGCGAAGGATACACAACTCAAAAACATTGATTCTTCTTCTGTCATCCTTAAATCAAAGTTTTACTTGCACCATCCTAATTATGTGTTTTAATTCAAGGAGGATACTTCCCATAGTAAAAAAAAAAAAAAAAAAAAGAACAATCTTCAAGGATGCTAGGGCTCTCTTTACAAATTTATTTCTCTGTTAGGGTAAACAATGTGTCCTCTTGGCATTCCATGTGTGGATCTGGGGTTATTTCCTTAAACCTTTGGATACCTTCTTCCACAGTGTACCAAGACAGATCTGGTACTTCAGTTTGACGTAATGTAGGTCACAGCATAATCCTTGCTTCAGTTAACAAACCAGATAGATTATTTCATCCTTTCTTAAGCTTTCCAACACATTGAGTTATTGATTGATTTATTTTTCAATAAATCAATAAATTCAGACTGATCCAGTTTTATGTTCTTTGCACAAATATTGCATACTCTTAAAGCCATTCCCACACATACTCTCTAGGGTTTTGTTTGTACATTTTGGAAAAATAGTTATTTTAGAGTGTAGAGTGTAATCTGCCTTTTCCTGCATCACACACTGTGTTTCACATTTTTTTTTTAATTTTGTGTGTGTGTGTGTGTTTCACCTTTTGGAGCTTGCTAGGATTAACTCTGGTGATAGGACTGCATGCAAAAGTAGGTGATGGCGGTAGTTCTTAGGAACATTCTAGCTCAGGCAATGCTCCAGTCTCTGACACAGTGATGTGGCACCAAAAGCTCATTAAGTAGGACTAGGTTAATCTAATCAGATTCAGGTAGTAAGGCTGGTTCAGCAGGATTTACAGGCTCAGTGCCTCCAGTTTCCTTATTATCTCCTCATATATCTCCACTCTAATTCTCAGGGTCCCATTATTTTCCAGCCAACACCCTTATTTTCATTTTATATACCTTTTGAGGTTAACATTGGGGTTTTTTTTTAAATTTTTTCATACTGGATATTATTTAAGCTCCCACATTCACCATGGCTTAACAATTAAACTTACTCACTCACTGTTATTGAGTTGGAGCCAACACAAAGCTGACCCTCCAGCATGTTTCCCAGAGGCAGTAAATTACACGGAAGTAGATTGTCGATCTTTCTCCCATAGAGCAACCAGTGAATTCAACTCCCTGCTTTGTGCTGGCAGTACAAACCCCTCATCCCCTAGGCCACCAGTTGTTGTTAGGTGCCACTGACTTGAGTACAACTCACAGAAACCTATGAACAGATCTGAACCCTGTCCTATCCTGTGATTGTGCTTACAATCTGACATACTCGAGCCCATTGCTGCAGTCACTGTCTCAATCTTATCTGGTTGGGGGTTTACCTCCCCTTTGCCTTCCCTTCACTTTTCCAAGCATGATGCTTCTCTCCAAAGAATAGCAATAGGCCCAGAGTATATGAGATGAAACTGTTATTTTTGCCTTCAAAGAGAACTCTGGCTTCAACTTCCCCAAATTTTTTTCTATTTCAATGCAGTATACATTATTGAACCCGTCCTTCTCAGTCTCCTCCCAACCTCGAGGCCAGTCCTGCTTTACAACAGTGGCATCATGCAATATTTGTCCTTTTGTGACTGAGATACTTCACTCAGCATAATGTCCTCCAGGGTCACCCATGTTAAATAATATTTCATGAGTTCCTCGTTTTTCAATGCAGCATAGTATTCCATGGTGTGAATAGACCAGAGCTTCTCTATCCATTCGTTTGTTGACAGGCATTTAAGTTGCTTCCAACTCCTTGCTATTGTGAACAAAGCTGCAATAAACATGGTTGTGTATATATCTACTTCGATGTCAGTTATGGTATCTTTGGGGGTATATTCCCAGTAGTGGAATTGCTGTGTCAAATAGTATCTCTATTTGCAACTTTTTGAAAAAGCGCCATACCACCTTCCATAGTGGTTGCACCATTTTACACTCCTACCAACAGTGAATAAGGGTTCCAGTCTCTCCACCTCGCCAGCATTTATTGCTTGCTGTTCTGTTAAATTTTGCAATTCTGACTGGTGTGAAATGATATCTCATAGTTGTTTTGATAACCCAAACACTTTGAGTCTCCAGTGGTTTGACACCATCCAGCAGCTCCAGGTGATAAAGATGAGTAATCTCTTGTTCAGTTTACACCTGCAGAAACCCATGCAGAGATTTTACTCATCAGAGCTAACTTGATTACAATGAATTTTGTTTTTAAGTAGAAATAGGAAAGAACTTCCCATCTTTCTACCATGGAGCCACTGGTGGAGTTGAACAGCTGGAGACTTCTAGCCTTTGGGTGACATTGCAACTCACTACAGATTAAGCCACCAGTGCTCCTTAAGTAACGTTATGTGTCATTAAGTCAGAACCGACCCATAGCTGACCCTGCAGTGAGTATTCTGTGATAGTAGATTGCATGGGAAGAGACTGCCCATCTTTCTCCTGCAGAGCCGCTGGTGGGTTATGTATGCCTTTGAGTTGGCAACTCAGTTCCTTACCATTAGGCCACATGAAGTCCATTGAGGTTAGAATTTACAGCACACAGAATAGTTTACCTTATACTGACAGTCATGCTCACAATGACATACAGTATTAACTATCAAATGAACAATCTAAACTATTTTTTCACAGTAGCTGAATGATTTTACGTCCTTACTTGCAGTGCATGAAGGTTTCAATTTCTCTACATCCTTGCCAACATTTGTTATTTTCAGGTATATATTATTTTTTAATAACTGTGCTAGTAAAAGTGAAATAATATCTTTGTTTTACAGTTCCTTAATGATTAATGATATTGAGCATCTTTACATGTGTTTGTTGGCTATTTGCATATTTTTTTCTCTCTAAAATATCAAAATAATGGGGAAAGTTTCCATATATTTTTCTAGTTTAATTATAGGGAGCTTTGGTGGCATAGTGGTAAGGAGTTGCACTGCCAACCCAAAGGCAGGTATTTTTTTTAATCCACTAGCTTCTTCATGGAAGAAAGATGGACAGTCTCCTGCTATGTGATTTACTGCCTCTGAAAACCCTTTGGATCAGCTATGAATTAATTGGTTCTGACGTAACAGCATGTAACAACAACAATAGTTTCATTATAGGGAGCTTTCGGAGACGTTGAAGCCAGAGTTCTCTTTGAAGGCAAAAATAACAGTTTCATCTCATATACTCTGGGCCTATTGCTATTCTTTGGAGAGAAGCATCATGCTTGGAAAAGTGAAGGGAAGGCAAAGGGGAGGTAAACCCCCAACCAGATAGATTGAGACAGTGACTGCAGCAATGGGCTCGAGTATGTCAGATTGTAAGCACAATCACAGGATAGGACAGGGTTCAGATCTGTTCATAGGTTGCTGTGAGTTGTACTCAAGTCAGTGGCACCTAACAACAACTGGTGGCCTAGGGGATGAGGGGTTTGTACTGCCAGCACAAAGCAGGGAGTTGAATTCACTGGTTGCTCTATGGGAGAAAGATGGACAGTCTACTTCTGTGTAATTTACTGCCTCTGGAAAACATGCTGGAGGGTCAGCTTTGTGTTGGCTCCAACTCAATAGAAGTGAGTGAGTGAGTTTAATTGTTAAGCCATGGTGAATGTGGGAGCTTAAATAATATGCAGTATGAAATTTCACTCTTGACGTTTGTGGCTTTATGGCTTTATATATATATTCCATTTTAGTACTTGAAAATATGTGTGCTACAGATGTTAGGTGTCAACTGAAATTTAAGGCTGGGAGTTATCAACATAGTAAACCAGCTTTAATCTCTGCTAAATAGTTCTTTAAGGAAAAGAGTGAAGAGTAGTAGTCTGAGAACTGTCTCAGGAAGACAAGGAAAATCCTTCGTTTTAAAACCAACAAGCATTCAAGGGAGCAGGAAGTTGTAAGAGACAAGAAGAATGAGAAGGAGGTTGGCACCAATGTAGCATTAGTTTAAAGGAATGTGAAAATAAACATTCAATTTGACTGTCATCACTGGTAGCCTTTGAAAGAGTAGTGTCAATTAAATCACAGATGGAAGCTGGGCCACATAATTTAATGAGAGTGTGCAACTGGAAAAAAGGAAGGCAAGTGTATAAACCATTTTCTTCAGATCACAAAGAGAGTAAGAGAAAGCTAAGAATTTGGAGCCCAGGTTTATTCTCCATATTACTTTTTTTAGTCATAATTTCCATAACCAGTCATGTTCCCAGATACACAAAACTTACTGGATTTTGCCCTTTCTTTTTATTATGCTGTAGAAGTGACACTCAACTCTCTGGTGTCAGAAGCTTTTGTCCGGTTTTTTGTGGAGCTGGTGGGACATTATTCTTTGAGCATGACTGTCACTGAGCGTGGGGAGCGTGTGTTTCAAAGGGAGCCGTTCCGTAAGTCCCATACCTCTCGAAGTGTACGCCACTTCCTGGATCTCTTCATGGAAACACAGATGTTCGCAGGATTCATCCAGGACCGAGAGCTGCGGAAAAGTGGGGTGAAAGGTTAGTTCCATCAGAAGGTGCTAATAATCATCTCTCTTTAATAAGTCCTTGAAATTTTTTAAATAATAGAAATAATAATGTAATAGCTACAAATATAGAAGCTCAAAATGTTGGTGGTTTATTGTGAGAATTATGTTTGGTTGGGGTTTTTTTGGTTGTTGAGAAAAATTTGTATTTAGATTAGCCAGCTGGTCTCAATTTAGATGATCCCAATTTTGTTGGCAACATCCAAAGTCTTATAGTCAGGAGCAAGTTGAACAATGGCCTTCTTCTCACCATCAGGCCTAATCAAGGTGTTGACCATGACCACATCAGTGCATAGAGCTTCTTTATAGCTTGTTTGATTTGGTGCTTGTTGGCCTTGATATCCACAGTGAACACAAGTGTGTTATCTTCTATCTTCTTCATGGCTGACTCAGTGGTCAGGGGAAACCTGATAATCCAAACTGGTCAAGCTTGTTTCTGCTGGAGGCGCTCTTCAGGGGTATTTGGGCTGCCTTCAGAGTCTCAGCGTCTTAGTCCACCTGAAGGTGGGTGACGTACGGACCTTCTTTTTTTCCGTGACTGTGGTCGCCCTTCAGGACTGCCTTCTAGGCCTTTAATGCCTTTGCTTTTGGCTTCAGTTTTGGGAGGGGCAGGGGCTTCCTTCTTCATTTTCAGCGCCATCTTCGTAAAAAGGCGAGAATGATGTATTTTGAAATATTACTTTGCCCATGGAAATACTAGATTTCCAATGAACACCAAATTTTATTTCAATAACTTATAGTTTGAGTGTTTGGCAATTTTACCACCTTGAATTTTCCTCTTAGGTTTGTTTGAGGTCCGGGCCCTTCAATATTTGGAAACAATTCCTGAGTCTGAGCCCAGTGGGGTGAATAGAATTTTGCGGAGTCTTGGTGAGTTGCTATACCGTACAGTTGGATAAATGTGGCTGAAAAACGTGAAAAGCATTTCTCAGTCACACGAGCTTGATTAGCATATCAGCAATATGTCGGAATAATGATCCTGATAACCAGGCTGACTAGAAACTCACAAAATGTAACACTCTCTAAGGTACATATAGACACTGTTACATTGGTATCTATTTGATTATGTATATTCTTATGAACAAAATTCTATTTTTAAGAAATAGTTATGGATAGAATGTGAGACAAAAGGAATATTTATGTCAAGTATTTTACACGTCATAAAGAATTAAAGTTGTTTTTTAAAAAATAAATAATGATGGTTGTTTGTAATCTTTCACTCACTGAGAGCCATTGAGTTGATTCCAACCAGCTCATCGTGACGCTCTATTGGGGTTTCCAATGCTGTAAATCTTAACTGCTCACCTTTCTCCCTGGGATCGACTGATGGAATTGAATTAACCAGCCTTTTGGTTAGCAGTACAATACTCCATGGACTGTGCCACCAGAGCTGCTTTTCCGTTACTTAGCTGTTAATGAATTGGGGAGCTCTGATGATACAGTGGGTTAAGTGTCAGGTTGTAACCAAAAGATTGACATTCACATCTACCAGCCAATCTGTCATAGGGAGTCTGGTGGCTTAGTAGTAAGGATTCACACGGCCAATTCAAAGACACAAAGTTCAAATCTGCCCGCTGCTATACAGGAGCAAGATGGGTCTTTTTGGCAGTTTACAGCCTCTGAAAATCTGCTAGAGGGTCAGATGTGAGTTGATTCTGCCTCATGTGGCCTAACAACAACACAAAACCCTGCAGTAGAAAGATGAGCAGTCTGCTCCCTTAAAGATTTACAACCCAAGGAGTGTCAGTGTGAGTCAGAGTCAGTGACAGTGAGTTTGGTGTTTTAGGTTTTGGTTTATTATCTAGGGTGCTATAGAAGTAGTGAGTGGTGTGGCTAGGCCAGAATAATAAACTTGCATTCCATGGTAATTATGTCTTTGTAATAGGAGTCCCTAAATTAGCTTTATCCTAAGCTAGCTAAGAGCCATGGGGAAATTAATCTCTGGGCTTTTATTTCCTCCTTAAACAGTTATGATTTGATTAGAATACTGGGTCTCAATTCTGCTATAAGAATTCTCTTTTTACCTCTTATGATTAGACTCTTTGGGGTTGTTTTTTGGTTTGTTTGTTTTTACTGTTTAATGTCAAAATGGACAATTAGAATACACATCCCCTGATTATTATAGGCTGTTCAGAATGGCTAATCTGTTGCCTCAAATAATCTACATCATTTGAATTAATGAGAGTTTACACACTTTTTTATCTTCTTTTAGGAAGTAAAATGAAATTTTTACAGAAGAAATGAAATATTTTAATATAACCATCCTAAATACAACAGAATGTGCCAAAGAAAATATTTTAAGAGTCAGGACACCTGGAAGTATTCTACAAACATCTTGCAAGTTTCAGAGATTACGGAGCCAGCCCAGCTTTCAGAAGAAGGTTCTCTTGTTGCTGCTGGAGTGATCTCTGAAGACTTGTTGGGAGTTATCTGGAACCAATGTTGTTTTCACTCTGCCTCCAGTTTGTTTGTTTATTTTAAGTGGGCTTTTTTATTTTATATTTGGGCTTATTGTATGTATTTTGTGTTAAGTCTATAAAGGCACTTGTCTATTACAAGGGGAAGGACTTTTTGATGTTGCATTCAAAAAATAGCTCAAAGATGAGCCTGAGGGAAATAGACTAGAGTGATAAGCAGGCAGCTGGACGCGGAGCACATGAGCCCGGCACACCTGAGTCTCATTGCGGAAATATTAAGCCCAAGGGCTCTCTCTTTGTGCTGAGCTAATTAATATCTTCATCAGATAGCTCCTTTTCTTTCTTCCTTTCTTTCTTTCTTTCTTTTTTTCAAGAGGGAGAATCTCGTGTTCTACCTGGGAAAAGCCTGTATATGTAGAAGTTCTGCTTGATAGGACTGGTATTGAGTTTATAAAAATAGGCATCTTATCGCCTCCTCTACAATACATGGCACTTGGGTAGCATGCTGCTTACTTGTCAACATTAAGCTTTGTGGAATTATAATTGCTAGGAAAATGTCCTTTCAAAGGCCCAGGAACTACTACTTTTTTATTACCTACCATGTGCAATGCACTATGCAACATATATGTATATATGTCATATTATTCTGTCCAGGCATCAATTTTGAGATATTTATATATTCATTTTACTAAAGAAGAAACTGGAATTCAAAGAGGTTAAATAATTTGCCCACAGTTGTATAAAAAATGCCAGTATTGAAGCCCAGGTCTGTTATTTTATGTTCACATAGAAGGCTGGTTAGTCTTGCAGATAGGAATTTGAACTCCATGGGGTTTAGCTATTAAAAAGTTTCCTATTAAGATAAAGTATGCCAGAGCTACCCCTCAGCTTTGAGAATGAGGGGCATCAAACTCTGATGCCTTACATGAGACTCTTTTTGGTACCACTAGAATTGTTGGGACTTTTTTGCTCTAATTAAATTGAATTCTGAAATTCTAACATTTTCTGGCATACATCTTGCAAACCTAAGCTAGTATCAGTCATTAGAGGAGTTTATTAATGATGGTGCAGTTTTCATTGATAAATATTATAGCAAATGACCATTTATGCCAGTTTTTAACTAGCATATTTATTCAAACTTAACAAAACCTTTATATCGTGCTAGTTTATTGACTTGTACAGTATTGTCATAATGACGCATTCAGGTGTGCATGAATGAATCTGAAGCAGACACCATGTAAAGTTCGGTGCTGTGTAATATAATTCCTATAGATGTGGGTCCAGGGAATAGAACTGTGTCCATATCTTACTGAAAAATTATTATTAAGTGGCTTATCCCTTTGGTACTCTTACAAGACATCTCCCCATTGGTCTCTTCTAACACTCCAATCCTGAGAAAGTAAACACGTAATTGGGAATGAGAGTAAGAGGGATGAATGTGGTGTATTCTGTGTGAGGAGCCTTTATCCCTGTAATTTCAAGCTGCTTTCCTGGATATGTTATATTTTGTGTTTTTTTTTTAAGTGTTGTGAATTCTGAAATAGTGTTTGTGAAATAATTGCTCAAGATTTGTATAAAATGGTTGTTTACAGATCTTTTAAGAAATAAACACATAAAAATCCCACAAATGTCTAAAGGTTTTGAAATAAAATTTAGATATTTAAAAAAATGCTATCAACTCAGCTCTGGCTTCTGACCACAATCCCGTACATTATTGAGTAGAACTCCCCTTTAGGATTTTCTTGACTGTAATCTTAATGAAAAGGAGCCCTAGTGGCATAGTGCATGATGTGTCTGGCTGCTAATAGAAAGACTGGCAGTTTGAATTTACCACCTGCTATGCAGGAGATAAAACGGCAGTATCATTCCCTAAAAGTTTACTGCCTCAAAAACTGCATAGAGGGTTACTATGAATTGCAATCAACCTGATGGCTGTGAGTTTTAGTTTTGGGGTCTTAATAGAAGCAGAGGGAACTCTAATAGTGTAGTCCGTAGGGAATTGTGCAGCTAACCCAGGGGCTCCACCACTGTGGTGGTTCAAATCCATGAGTGACACTGAGCAAAAAAGATGGGCAAACTTCCTGTTTGATTTACAGCCTCAGAAACCCTCAGGAAGGTGAACCATGATTAGGTTCCGACTGAAGAGCAGTGAAAGAGCCAGAAAAACATAATGGAAGCAGATCATTAGCCCTTTCTTTTGAGTCCACTTTTAGATTAATACGTGAGTGCAAACCAATAGCGCCATCTAATGAGCCCTGGTGGCATAATAGAGTGTGTTGAGCTGCTAACTGAAATGATGGCAATTTAAATTCACCAGCTGCTCTGTGGAAGAAAAACTAGCTCGTTTTCTACTATTAAGATTCATAGCCCTCAAAACCAAGTGAAAGTACACCATGAGTTGGAATCAGTTTGACAGCAGTGGGGTTGGTTTTTTAATGGCCCCAGGATAATCTCCTGTGTAATTGGATTGTCTCTGAAAACTTGCTGGAGGGTCAGATATGCACTTGTTCCAGTACACAACAACAGAAAACTTATACTTAATTTAAATCTATAGGTACCACATTGATCTAAATAATAGTAAGTTAGAAATAGAGCTTAGAATCTGTTTCTTCCAGTTTGGCTCCTGCTGAGAATTGCCATTTCCATATGATTTCATCTTGTTTGGATCCACAGTCAACACCACTGGTACCAGGAGTTAGGAGATCAGGAGACACATAGTATTGGGAAGGTCAGGGATCTCTCCAAAGTCTTGAAGAGCAACAGTGTCAGTTTAAGGATTGTGCTGTTTCAAGCCACAGTCTTTTCAGTCACCTGCTGTGTGTCTGAGAGCTGAACAGTGAATAAAGATGACAGAAGAATCTATGCTTTTGAGTTGTGGCATTAGGGAAGAGTACTGAATATCCCACAGACTGCCAAAAGAACAAACATATGTTTTGGAGAAAGTGCAACTATAATGCTCCTTTGGGACAAGAATAGTGGAGCTTCATCTCACATAACTTCAAGCATGTTGCTAGGAAAGACTATTCCCTGGAAAGGAACATCATTCTTGGAAAGGTGAAGGGTCAGTGAAAGAGAGGAAGACTCTCAACAAGATGGACTGACACAGTGAAGGTAATGGGCTCTAATATGTCACATGGCACAGGAGAGAAAGAGTTCAGATCTGTTTAGAGTCGTGATACCAAACTCGTACTTGGCAACACATAACAACAACAATACATAGACCATGAAGTAGTCATTTGAGCAGAATAAGAGGATACTGAATGGTTTAAAATAAGGCTAGAACAGGGGAGCTCTGGTGGCCTAGTGGCAAGAAGCTGCACTGCAATCCCAGAGCCCCATGGTTCGAATCCACCAGATGCTCTGCCAGGAAAGGAGGGCCAGTCTCCTCTTGTACCAGTCAGATCTGATTTGACGGTACACAGACACACAAAAATAATAATAAAATTTAAAAAATTTTTAAAAAAATCAGGCTAGAACAGTACATTGAGAGAAAACTGCTGGACGTTCAAGCGGGTTTGGAAGAGGCCATGGCACCAGGGATATATTGTAACCTTGATTAAATCCATATACATTTTTGTTTTTATGTGTTGACTCAACTACAACTCATCGCAACCCTATTAACAATGGCTCTGAAACTCCCTATCCTCAGCCAACCTTACCATCTCCATCACACTTGACACCATTGTAAGTGTGTCAAGCCACCATGTTGAGGGACTTCCTCTCTTGTGTTGACCTTGTAGGTTCCCAAGCATGATGTCTGTCCTTTTCCAATGACTGGCCACTCCTGACAGACCCAAAGTATAAGAGATGGAGTTCCCACCAACCTTGCCTCCAAGAACACTCTGGTTCCACTTTTTCCAGAACCTGCCTGTTTGCTCTCTTGGCAGTCCATGGGATAGTCAATACTTTCTCTAGCACCATAACTCAAAGGCATCAGATCCTTCTGTGATCCTCAGTCACTGTTAAACTTTTACATGCACAACAAGCAATGGAAAAAGCCATGGCTTGGATCAGACACAGCCTTTAGACTGACACTGCCACTCTTTAGTAAACTAGAGAGGTCCTATGCTACTTGTCTTTTGATTTCATGACAGCTGGTGCCAAGGATATTGATTGTGGATCCAACCAAGATGAAATGACAACTTCAGTCCTTTCTCCATCTACCATGATGCTGCCCATTGGCCTGATGGTGGGACTTTTGTTTTACTAATATTGAAATGCAATCCATATTGAAAGCTGTAGTGCTTGATCTTCTGCAGCAAGCACTTTTAAGTCCTCACTTTCAGTAAGCAAGGATATCATTTGCATAATGCAGGTTGTGGATGAACCTTCTTCCAATTCTTATGCCACACTCTTCATAAAGCCCAGCTTCTCAAATGACCTGTTTAGCATATAGATTGAAAGGTATGTAGAAAGGTATGTGTACATTACTAACACACCTTTCTTTTGAACCATGCAGTGTTTCCTTGTTCTGTTTCAACAATAGTTTCTTGGGCTAGGTTTAGGTTTTGCATAAGCACAATTAAGTGTTCTAGGATTCCCATTCTTGTCAATGTTAGCCATAATTTATCCAGATCTACATAATCAAATGCCTTTGCATAGACCTCCATGGTTTCCTGACCCCCAAGCTTCACTGTGGGTACCCCTATCGCATGCACGAAGCTGTCTATATATTTATTTGTTCTTCTATTCCCACCTGAATTTCAGAATCATCTCAGGAACAGGTTTGAGGCCTTGAACACTAATGAGCGAAGACCAGATGAGTTGTGGGAGGATGTTAAATGTATCATCCAGGAAGAGTGCAAACGGTCATTACAAAGACAGAAGAG